CTCCTAATCTCAGCTCGTTACCTGTATAAAAGACACCTGGGAGCCAGAAATCTTTCTGATTGAGAGGGGGTCAAATACTTATTTCCGTCATTAAAATGCTAATCAATTAATAACATTTTTGACATGCGTTTTTCTGGATTTGTTGTTTTGGACTTGTTGTTATTCTGTCTCTCACTGTTCAAATAAACCTACCATTAAAATTATAGACTGATCATTTCTTTGTCAGTGGGCAAACGTACAAAATCAGCAGGGGATCAAATACTTTTTTCCCTCACTGTATATGTACTGTATATACTGATCTGGAGGGCAGCCCAGTGACTCTTATCAACACTCTATGCAATAAGGTTTACTGTCTTCTCAGGAATTCAGCCTTCTCTGTGTTCATCTCTCCAAACCCATTCTGTCATAGTTCTGTGAAGCATTACATTTACATTTACATCATTTAGCAGACGCTCTTATCCAGAGCGACTTATAAATTGGTGTACTGCAGAGGGTATGTTGTCGTTACAGCCTGTAGGTCTGATGTCTGATTGGAGGTTAACTTTACAGTAATACTATTGGTCAAAAACGCAGATTTTGAATCCAAACAAGTCAGATGTTATAAAGGGTCTTAGACTAATTGTCTCTCTCTCTCTTTGCTCCTGACCTGCGCTGGTGAGATACACTCTCTCTCTCTTTCTCTATCCACCCCAGGGACTCTTGGGGCATGGCCTTTCAGGCTATTTCCTTCTCTCTCTCCCTCTCTGATCATGCCTAGAATAATGCCTTGTAATGCTTGTTAATGCTTTGTAACTTAAGCTTTAAGCCTTCTATGTGAATTAATTCATTTTACAATGTAATTACATCTATTTGCCTTTAGAATTCCATTCTTAGACCTTTCTTGAGTGCCTATTACTGTAATTTATTGCATATTGCTAAATCATCTTTATGGAGTCAGATAAATAGACTAATTGCATATTCTTATCATGTGAGATATACACTGAACAAAAATATAAAAGCAACATGCAACATTTTCAAAGATTTTACTGAGTTACAGTTCATATAAGGAAATCAGTCAATTGAAATAAATTCATTAGGCCCTAATCTATGGATTTCACATGACTGGCAATACAGATATGCATCTGTTGGTCACAGATACCTTTTTAAAAAAGGTAGGGGCGTGGATCAGAAAACCAGTTAGTATCTGGTGTGACCACCATTTGCCTCGTGCAGCGCGACACACCTCCTTCGTAAAGAGTTGATCAGGCTGTTAATTGTGGCCTGTGGAATGTTATCCCACTCCTCTTCAATGGCTGTGCGTATTGCTGCATATTGGCGGGAACTGCAACACGCTGTCGTACACATCAATCCAGAGCATCCCAAACATGCTCAATGGGTGACATGGAAGAACTGGGACATTTTCAGCATTATCATGCTGAAACATGAGGTGATGGCGGCGGATGAATGGCACGACAATGGGCCTCAGGATCTCATCACGGTATCTCTGTGTATTCAAATTGCCATAGATAAAATGCAATTGTGTTTGCCATCTGCCCGGTACAGTTGAAACTGGGATTCATCCGTGAAGAGCACACTTCTCCAGCGTTCCAGTGGCCATCAAAGGTGAACATTTGCCCACTGAAATCGGTTACGATGCCGAACTGCATTCAGATCTAGACCCTGGTGAGGATGACGAGCACACAGATGAGCTTCCCTGAGACGGATTCTGACAGTGTGCAGAAATTCTTTGGTTGTGCAAACCCACAATTTCATCAGCTAACTGGGTGGCTGGTCTCACAAGATCCCACAGGTGAAGGAGCTGGATGTGGAGGTCCTGGGCTGGCGTGGTTACACGTGGTCTGCAGTTGTGAGGCCGGTTGGAAGTACTGCCAAATTCTCTAAAATGACGTTGGAGGCGGCTTATGGTAGGGAAATGAACATTCTGGTGGAAATTCCTGTAGTCAGCATCCCAATTGCACGCTCCCTCAAAACATGAGACATCTGTGGCATTGTGTTGTGTGACAAAACTGCACATTTTAGAGTGGCCTTATAATTTCCCCAGCCCAAGGTGCACCTGTGTAATGATCATGCTGTTTAATCAGCTTCAAGATATGCCACACCTGTCAGGTGGATGGATTATCTTGACAAGGAGAAATGCTCACTAACAGGGATGTAAACAAATTTGTGCACAACATTTTTGAGAAATACGTTTTTTGTGTGTATGGAATATTTATGGGATCTTTTATTTCAGCTTATGAAACATGGGACCAACACTTTACATGTTGCATTTATATTTTTGTTCATTATAAATATATATATATATATATATATATACTTATATATCAAATATTACCCCACTACAATACAGATAATGAATGAAACCAGCATGGTGCAAGGAAAAACTATCAGTCATGTTTCTGTTTTGTTTCAATAACTTAGAAGCTGAACTGTATGCTACAACAACGTTGTCAAGATTGTGACAGTGTTAGTGAGAGAACAAGTGGTGTCTGGGCTGATACAGTACCACTACAGAGCAGCTCTCAGCATGTCTCCCACATAGTCTCCAATATGCAGGGCAGATGTGAGAGGGGGTCCGAGGTGTTGATCCAATTCACAGGTCCCTGTGTTGACAGGACAAGGGGAAAGCATTGAAAAGTGCTAACAGGCCCTCTCCTTTCTTCTACACAAATGCAGATAGCAGAGCTTTGACACGCCAGATCATTCCAATCACATTACATGTAGTCAGTGTCACAACATGGCAATGGAATCAATGTCTGGGACTAATCACGCAGCTTGTCTCAAATTCAATGTGTGATCTGAGTGGCACTGTCCCAAATCATATAAAGACATCAAAAGATGAAAGACTCCAGTGTCGAATAAGAGAGCATAGAGAACACATATACTCAAAGGGAGTTTTTTTCAAGAGTTTTAATAATTTACTAAAAAAAAGAGTGTAAAAGTCACAGATCTCTTCTCCAAGATAGATCTGTCTCATATTCAAAGTGATGGCAGATGTAACAAATTTGCGAACTTGCCCTCTTTTGTACTTTAGTGTACATTTCTTGGCAATACACCCTTAGCTGTATTTTGAATGAGACTTCATAAGTATATATTTATATTTAAAAAAGCCCACAGCAAAAAATACTTTATAGGAATCACTTAAAATAAAGTAAATTAAACCAGCATGAAATGTACAGCTTTGAGAAATTCAAAAAACACAGCTGAAAAGTGTATATACAAACATGCTAGGAATTGTACAAATAACAGGGCTGTTTGAGTGGAGCTCAAGAAATAGGCTTTTCTGATGGTTTGCTTGACCTCATTTAGGACCACCACTGAAATAAAGCATATTAGTTAAATATACAACACCCATGTAATGCTCAAATACATACCATTGAAACCTATTGCCTATTTCAAGTTTATTTATCAGGAGAAGAGAGACACTTTATAAATATATCTTTCCTGCAGTATTAAGCTCCTTAACTTAAACTCATTAAATAAAACGGCAAACAGTTGACATTTCAATAATTGAAAAATATATAAAAGTATAGAACTAAAATGCATTGTCTTTGATAAAAGATTTATACTGTATTTGCCTCTTCAAAGAGAAAGTTATGTATAAACCACTATCACCATCATGTGGCTGTTTTAGAGAAGTAACATTTATATATATATATATATATATATATATATATATATATATATGAATTTATATGCATGATATACTATATAGAAATATGACATTTTAACAATTTTTGTTACAATTTGCTTCAAATAAGTAAGTCGCTCTGGATAAGAGCATCTGCTAAATGACTAAAATGTAAAAATGTAAAATTTCCATTTTCATTTCCGACCCCAAGGCGATTGATATTAAATTTGGAAAAGACCTTGATAATTTTTTGGCTTCAAAATGTAATTTTAAATATAAAAAATAAGTCTAAATTCTTCGCAAATGTCAGTTTAACACTATAAACAAGAACCTCTGTTCATTATTTGTCAAATAGTATTCAGTGTGTTCATATGTACAGCAATAAAATTGTAACTTTCAAAAGTAAGGAAAAAGTGCCATTATCAATTGCTTTGACCTCACAGGAAATTGTTGTGTTCTCCACCCTCTTATGATTGTTGGTTTAAATTTCATTACTAAACCGCGAGCCAATGAACTCACAACCACAGTTCCTTACAAACGTGTAAAAGTGTCATTGAAAGTAGGAAGCTGCTGTGTTGCTGTGGTCAGTTGGTTCCCTGGTTGTGCAGTGTGGGACAGATACAGGACAGCTATGCAGGTGACTCCCAGGCTCCCATCCTACATGAGGATGTCTATAGCTCCCAGTGTATCACTGTTATGGCTGGTAAGGGGGATGGTCCAAGTCTTCATGCAGGACCACACTGTAGGTCACATAGTGCACCCTTTAACATGTTTCCTCCATAGCTTCAAAACATCTTCAGTCTCACAGGAACAGGGTGAAAAATCCTCCTGTACAACAACGCTGATCTGATAATGACAAGTGTAACACTGAAATGTCCTATTATGTCAATAAAAAGGGCATAGTTGGATATCTCCATCTTCTCTCTCAGGCTGTACGTGCCTTTTCAGATGGTTGTTGGCACATCACCGCATCTTACAATAACCGTTTTTTAAAGGTAAGAATTGCACTGGGCTGGTCTCATGGCAGACCATACTGTTCATGTTCAAAGGTCTCTCTGTACTGTACATAGGCATTTGTTTGTTTGTTTTCCCAACCAAGAACCAGCACAATCTGTTGTCCTACTGCCACCATTTTGGCCATCATTCCACTGAAATATAGCCATGATTTGATCATAGATCACATGTTAATACTAGGTGTAAAAGGGGTCCATAAGTCTCACCCTATCTGTCCATCCAGAATTTTTCTAACAGACCTCTGGCTCTCTCTGGTGTCCAGACAGAGACATTGCAGGCAGGCAGGCACACATGACCTCAGAGGCCATGGATTGTGCAGTACTCAGTTTCCTTAGCTGTCCATTAGTAAGTCCCATAGCTAGAGCATGTTGAGGACGGCATTGTACATCTGTGTGAGCACGGCCAAGTGGACGGGCAGGCAGGAGCGGCGGTCCTGGGTGGCAGGGTTGCACGTCAGCCACGAGAGGGCGTTGTACTGCTCCAACACAAACCTACAGTAGTACGCAAGACATGAGCACCATGGTTTGGGGTTAGGGAACACATAACATGAACATACGTCATACTAGATGAAGTGTTGACCTTTATAGCCTACAAATGATGCCCACACATAAGCTACTTCTTCATCACAGAGGACAATTTAGTGACAATAACAACCTATTTGACAGAGTGAGAAGAGGAGATGATAGGGTGTTATACAGTAGAAGAAGGTAGGATGGGATGGGTAGTAGATACTGGGAGGGTTGCAAAATTCCAGGAATTTTCCTTAAATTCCCTGGTTTTCCAGAAATCCTGGTTGAAGGATTCTGGATTTCCTGCTTATTCCCTCCTGATTTGGGATTCCTTCAACCGGGATTTCTGGAAGACCTGGGAATTTTGGGAAAGTTACCGGAATTTTGCAACCATAGTACTGGGCATATAGCATAACCTACTAACCTGAGTACATCAGAGGTGGTCTTGGAGTCCAGAGGGTGAGGTATCCTCTTGGTCGTCTTGTCTGAGCTTGTCTGATTGGGCTCATCTGATTGGGCTGTGGCGATGGAGATGTGGTGGTGTAGAGACGCCTTCAGGGGAGAAACAGGGGTGTCTGAACACACACTTACACACACAGACACACAAAAGTATGCACCCACGCACCCACGCACACACGCACACACCACCCCCCCCCCCACCCTCACACAAGCAACGCACACACACACACAAAATCAACAAGTACGTGGATCCCTTACCTTGAGAAAGAGTGGACACTGGTTCTGAGCCTGAGGGCAGGAGGCCCAGAACCAGTGAGGCAGGCTGTCGGCCTGGGCAGTGGAGACATAGTATCCCAGGGCTAGAGGCTGCTGCTTCAGCTCCTCTGGAGGGTTCTCCCTGGACAGAAACCTCTCTCCCTGACTCTGGAGGACAGAAGGAACATTAAGGACATATGGTCACCAACAGTATCAGGAAAAGTTCTGCATAATTCATATGAATCGAGTCACTTAGCCTGGTTTCTGAACTCACCCTGTTATGCTGGAAGTGTGAGCTTCCCCCCATGCCAGAGGGGGAGCCAGGGGAGGGTACGGGGGAGGTGTTGGGGGAGGGGTGCAGGTTGAGAATGTCATGTCCTATGTCATTCTCCAGCTCGTCAGGGAAAGGCAGGTCGAACATGTCGTCTGGAGACAGAAACACAGCAGAGTTATCTATCTAGTCAGCTACAGATAGACATCTCATCCACAAGAGGTGTAGTCCACTGTATCTTCCTCTGACTCTATTCCAAACAATCCTGAGAGAATTGCACACTCTGGTGGGGATATTTGTGAACTGCACATAACTTACATCCAGCAACAGTTTCTGTAAAATGCTGAGTATACAATACCTAATTACTGATAATTACTGATATACTTTCAGCTCAAGTATAGATTTTTAGATATAATGCTATTGCCGCTAACATATTGGTTGTATTGAATAACCTTGCACCTAAATACACTCTGCATTCAACATGGAGGTCTAATGTGGAGCCCTTACCAGTGTTATCCTCTGTGGGGTAGGAGCTGGCAGCCAGCTGGGTGGTGGCGGAGGTGGGGAATACCAGGATGTGGGTACAGGAAGCGTCTTGAGGGGTGTTCAGCTGGGACGTCTGCAGGTTGAGGGCCGTGCTGCGACCAAACACCGAGCCCATCGTCACCGCGTCTGCACACACACACACACACACACACACACACACACACACACACACACACACACACAGAAACAAATGTGCCATGTGTATGATAGTAAACCTATGGGCCCTGTCATGCAACAAATCCCATGAACTTGGCCTCCATTACGATGGAAATGGTCCGGCGTTCCGTTGCCAAGGCAGCTGATGCGGACTGAACACTGCACATTTCCAACAGCCCGCTTCAGACCAATTCAGACCAACTTATTATAAATAGTATGTCATGTAAGGTTGTATTGTGATTTCCCTTAATAGAGCTTGCTGTGTGTTTGGCAATGAAATCCTTTGAGTTTGCTAAAGTTTGTATTGCTGTGCACAATGTGCTACTGTACAGTGCAGAGTGTCTGTCCTGTAAAATCCACTTGGCCTAACCTTGGCTCAAATGCTGCAATCTCCATTATGTCTGCATTACTGTGTGCTGTGAAGTGAGTGTCAGCTCACCGTGCTCCCTCAATGTGTGGCAGCTCAATGTGTTCCCTGAGTGTGTGGCAGCATTGGGGTTAAACACACTATTACACTGTTCACCCTTGGCTCATAACATCATGTTGTATCTGCAACACCAGGGCTTTTAGAGTGAGCTTCTATAACATCTATTAAATATGTATATTATATCTGGAAGGTTTCGTAAACACATAATCCATGGGCCCAGCAGTGCTGCTAACCTGGCATCACCACGATGGAGCCCTGGGGTTCCATGGCAACCAGGCAGGCGCTGAGGATGGAGGGGGGTGTCGGCAGAGGAGATGCCACACATACGACACGCCTCCTTTAGCTGGCGACTGATGGAGTGGAGAGAGTGCTCCCCAAGGAGAACGCTCCAGTCTGGAGGGAGGGAGGGAGGGAGGGAGGGAGGGAGAGGAGAGGAGAGGAGAGGAGAGGAGAGGAGAGGAGAGGAGAGGAGAGGAGAGGAGAGGAGAGGAGAGGATAGGAGAGGAGAGGAGAGGAGAGGAGAGGAGAGGAGAGGAGAGGAGAGGAGAGGAGAGGAGAGGAGAGGAGAGGAGAGGAGAGGAGAGGAGAGGAGAGGAGAGGAGAGGAGAGTGAGGGGAGAGGGAGGGAGAGAGGGGAGAGGGAGGGAGAGAGGAGAGGAGAGAGGGAGGGAGGGAGGGAGGGAGGGAGGGAGGAGGAGGGAGGGAGGGAGGGAGGGGGAGGGAGGGAGGGAGGGAGGGAGGGAGGGAGGGAGGGAGGGAGGGAGGGAGGGAGGGAGGGCGAGAGGTGGGACAGGGGAAGTCGGAGGCAGGGAGGGAGGGAGGTGAGGGAGGGACGGGGGGGAGAGAGGGAGGGATGGATAGAGAGGGGGACAGGGGAGGAGAGATTCGGGTCAATACAGTGAATTGTTCTACAGTCAACTGTCATCCCCTCTGGATCAACTGAAGTACTGAGGCAGAAAATATAGAAACAATAGTTCCAGCTGATCTCACCTTACACCAAACACCAGGGATATTGAGACAGAGTTAGCTGCACTATGCTGAACTCACCTTTCAGTTCACCGTGTCCTAGTCTGCCCAGCCGACCAATCACGATCCTCCATGGCAGTGAGGTCATCTGGATGATGCCGACACACCAGTCCCATAACTTTTGCAGTCCCATCTTCCTGGCTGAGACCTTAGGCCACCGTGCTCTGAGGAGGAGCAGGGAGAGACAAGAAGAACGTTCGGTAATGTCTATATAACATCATGAACTGTATAAATATAAAGGTTCTGAAATGCTACATTAAAGTGTATTACTTTACTCAATATAATATAGCCAAGCCTACTATGAATAATATATATTATATGATATCATATAATGAACGACAGGATGAAAGGATTTGACATTATCTAACATTAGCACAGCATCATCAACACCTCTCCATAGATATCCCCCATTCTCCCAGGCCCTGACTGATTGAGTAACTGACTGACTGACTGTACCTGTTCGGCACATCGATGTTGATGATGCAGGTCTCCAGTAGCTCTCCCTGTTGGTCGGTGCAGGAGACCAGGATCCAGCGCTGGTCATGGGACAGGCAGTAGCCCACAAACAGCACGTTGTACCTGGGAGGGATCTCTGCCCACACCTCCCCTGGCTCCGGTTGCTTGGCACGGGTAGGACCCAGAATGTACGGGGGAGAGTAGCCCTGTAGAGGGCTGTGGTGCTGGGGAGGGGACAGGGGGAGTGAGGAGGGAGGGGGAGGGGGAATGATGAGGGAGGGGGAGTGAAGAGGGAGGGGGAGTGATGAGGGATGGGGAGGGGGAGTGAAGAGGGAGGGGGAGGGGGAGGGGGAGTGAGAAGGGGGGGAGAGGAAGCGAGTGGGATTGTCAGACAGTTGGAGCATTTATTAACAAGTTCAAAATAGATGAGATGTATAGGTAGGGTAGGCCCCTATGTGTCTGAGTGAGTGTGTTTGAAGCCTGTGTGGGACTTTTCAATGGGTGTACATGTCATTAAGTGTGGGTTTGTGCAAGCCTTACCTCTGGGCTCTTAAGCACAGATTCTAGGGTGGAGGCGGGGCCGAAGCCAGTCAGAGACTTGATGTGTGTCTGTGTGGGTAGGAGGCGTCTGCACTGGGAGTAGGCTGAGAAGGCCAGGGAGCGCAGGTGCTGCAGGTACAGAGGGCTCTCACCACTGGCTGGCTGGAGCAGGTACTGACATGGCACCACCTGGACAACACATACGGAATGAATGAACACTCTGGTATGAGCAGATTGACCTGGGGAGCTATTCACTGCTGTTGGCCGTGGTAGGACATCCAGACTGTGTCTTCTGGCACTCTATTCCATATATAATAATACATAATAATAATAATAATAATAGTGCTCTCCTTTTGACTAGAGGGCTCTGGTCAAAAGTAGTGCACTATGTAGGGATTAGGGTGCTACCCACAGTCTCAGTCACTCATCCATTCAACCATTAACATTCAACCATACAGAAGCAAAGCTATAGGTGGTGTAAGAGGGAGGACAGTACAGTATATGATCCTACCTGTAACACCAGTGCTGGTCTCATGCTCTCTGGCAATGTCTGTAGCATCTCTGCGTAGCACCGCAGCAGCCCTAGTAACCACACACTGCCTGCTTCCACCTCCTCTCCCTCCTCCTCCTCCTCCTCTCCTCCTCCTCCATCACTCGCTCGGCCCGAGCACAGGAAGGGGTCCACCACGTAGATCACGATGGCCGGGGGGTGGGCGTGGCTATCGGCCGAGTCCGCTAGCGTGGGGATGCCGATTCGCTCCCGCTCCGCCACTCTGGGAAAGGGGGCGGAGACATGATGAATATCCCAATATCATGATAACATAGAATACTGAATAATAACATAGTAATACAATAGTAATATAGAAGCATAGATGCCCTGGGTCCTCACCTCTCAGGGGTCTCTGGCTGGCTAGGTGGTGGTGGTATGGCATTGGGGGTATTCTTGACCTCAGTGGACCCTCCTTGGGTGCTCTCTGCTGGCCCTGGCTGGCCCGAGGCTGCTACTGTGGGGGTTGGGGTGCTTTCTGATCTGGGGGCCACTGGGGGGGCCGTTGGCTCTCCCTCAGCAGGGGCCCCAGGACCAGAGGGGGGCTGGCTAGAGGAGGGGGCAGGCTGGGATGAGGAGGGCGTAGGGGCCGGAGGAGGCTGAGGCTTGGGGGGTAACAACAGACTGCTGTCCAAAGACAGGGCAGACAACTGTGGACCTGGATGAAGGAAAACATTGAGGAGGAGTTAGAGTTGAAATGCATGTAGTAGTTAGTGTTATAGCTGCGGGAAGATGTTTAGCACCCTCAGCACCCCTACTTCCTGCGGCCATGGTTAGTGTAATACCAATTTAGTAACTAGTGAAATATCTATAGAGAGTTAGGTATATCACAAAAACATCCCAGGGGAAGGGTTAATAGATAGAACAAATAATAGAATAGGACTCATATGTCCCACCTGGTACAATGTCCCTTCATCACAGACAATTGCAATCATAAAGTTCAGTGTTTCACCTAGCTGCTTCCTGCAGGCGCGCGCGTAGAGTTTGAGTTTGCTGAGGTTGTCGCTGTGTTGCTGTCCAGCCCAAGGCCCTGTGAACCACTGATCTACCTGCTCCTCCTCCTGCCTCTCCTTCTCTTTCTCCTTCTCTGTCTCACTTTCTGTCTCTGTGTCCACTGCCCCCACACGCACCAGCCCATCTCTGGACACCTTGGCCAGGGGTCTGTGTTTCCCCAACCGACACGTCTGAAAATGACAACAAGTAGGGGTTATAGATTACATACACAGTATCCCACCCAGTGTCTTCACACATTCACGGGAGGTGGAGGCATCTAATTGGTCATTGTATATTCTGAAAGAAACAACAACTAAGAATTTGCTAGAGGAGAGGGTTTGGATACAGTAGTATAACAGGACCTACCTCGTAGACAGCGCTGAGTTCCTGGAAGAAGGCCTGTGCCCCGGCCAGCAGGGTTTCAGAGTTGGGGCAGAGCACCAGGAAGGCCACGTCCCTCTGTCCCCCGTATGGTTCCAACAGCAGCTTCTCCCAGAAGGGCAGCGCCAGGGGCGACAGCGCCAGGAAGTTACGGTCGTAGTTGTCGTAGTAGCCCATCAACAGGGTAGGGATGGGAAGGGGCTCCGGCGACTCCTCTGACCCTGGTGAGAAGAAAGATGAGGCATGGGAGAGTTATGGAAGGCTGAACTGGACTGAAGGAGGTCAGGTGATTGTCTTGTTCGATTACATTTCTCCGGTTATCCTTTGTACAGCAATATTTAGAGGGCCTACTCCTAAATTGAGATCTGTGGAAGAACCTAAAATGTTGACAACAAATATAATTTACACAAAAGTCAAGTCACAAACAGTTCAAGGGAAATCTATCTAAAATACTGTACATTGCAAATATCTACTGTAGATACATCAATAAAGAGTGTCCCTGGTGGCTTACCGTAGGAGCCCCGGCCGGCCATCTTGTGGAACTGTTGCCATGTGAGCGGACCCTGGACATGCTGGATGTTCTCCCAGGTCCGGCCCGTACGTTTCTTCTGGATGGCGTCCTGAAGGAAGGGCTGCAGGGACAGCAGCATACGCACCACGTCCTGGGATGACAGAATACTTATGTCCAGCACTGGGGAGAGACAAGGAGACACACACACACACACACGAGAAGACACACACGAGAACAAACACACACACACACACACACACAGAGAAATACATACATTACATAAATAAACATTAGACATCATACACATTGAACGTCACATCACACAACAGTCCGTAACTAACAAAGAGAAACATGGATTTAAACTTTGAGTGAATGGATTGATCTTGTTTAATTTTCCATTCTAAGAAAAAATAAGCTACACTACATGACCAAAAGTATGTGGACACCTGCTCGTCGAACATCTCATTCCAAAATCATGGGCATTAATATGGAGTTGGTCCCCCCTTTGCTGCTATAACAGCCTCCACTCTTCTGGGAAGGCTTTCCACTAGATGTTGGAACATTGCTGCGGGGACTTGCTTCCATTCAGCCACAAGAGCATTAGTGAGGTCGGTCACTGATGTTGGGCGATTAGGCCTGGCTCACAGTCGGCGTTCCAATTCATCCCAAAGGTGTTCGATGGGATTGAGGTCAGGGCTCTGTACAGGTCAGTCAAATTCTTCCACACCGATCTTGACAAAACATTTCTGTATGGACCACGCTTTGTGCATGGGGGCATTGTCATGCTTAAACAGGAAAGGGCCTTCCCCAAACTGTTGCCACAAAGTTAGAAGCACAGAATTGTCTAGAATGTCATTGTATGCTGTAGTGTTAAGATTTCCCTTCACTGGAACTAAGGGGCCTAGACTGAACCATGAAAAACAGTCCCAGACCATTATTCCTCCTACATCAAACTTTACAGTTGGCACTATGCATTCGGGCAGGTAGCGTTCTCCTGGCATCCGCCAAACCCAGAGTTGTCCGTCAGACTGCCAGATGATGAAGCGTGATTCATGACTCCAGAGAACGTGTTTCCACTGCTCCAGAGTCCAATGGCGGCGAGCTTTACACCACTCCAGCCGACGCTTGGCATTGCGCACAGTGATCCTAGGCTTGTGTGCAGCTGCTCGGCCATGGAAACCCATTTCATGAAGCTCCCGATGAACAGTTCAGTTCTGCTGACGTTGCTTCCAGAGGCAGTTTGGAACTCGGTAGTGAGTGTTGCAACCGAGGACAGATGATTCTTACACGATACGCGCTTCAGCAGTCGGCGGTTCCATTCTGTGAGCTTGTGTGGCCTACCACTTCGCTGCTGAGCCGTTGTTGCTCCTCGACGTTTCCACTTCACAATAACAGCACTTACAGTTGACCGGGGCAGCTCTAGCAGGGCAGAAATTTGACAAACTGACTTGTTGGAAAGGCGGCATCCTATGACGGAGCCACGTTGAAAGTCACTGAGCTCTTCAGTAAAGCCATTCTACTGCCAATATTTGTCTATGAAGATTGCATGGCTGTGTGCTCGATTTTATACACCTGTCAGCAATGGGTGTGGCTGAAATAGCCGAATCCACTAATTAAAGGGGTGTCCATATACTTATGTATGTAGTGTATTTGTCTCTATAACTCTGTAATCAGTTCACTGCAGATAGAAAGCCGCTATTACTTCTATCACCACTAGGAATGTCATCACTACTGTCATCCCTACTGTCATCCTCCAATTACTATCACCCCTTGGCATCCTTCTATCATTACAGCCAGATCACTCCTCCTTACCGTTGGTGTGAGGCCAGGAGTGTAGAGCGCTGCTCCTCACAACAGCCGGATCTACTTTCCCTCCGGCGGGGTTATCCACATACTGCTGCCCCTGTACCAGCGCGTTGTAACACTCCACACACGCATCACTGCCATCCGCCCACTGCTTGTCAGCCATCCAGCTCTGGAGCAGGGCCCCCTGGCGGCCGTGGCAGGAGCAGGCAGGAGGGAGGTGTAGGGAGGCCAGAGAGGAGATGGGCTGGGAGCACTGCTCCTGGAGGAGCACCATGACAGAGGAAGGGGCAGGGGAGGAGTCCTGGGGGCGCTTGGCCCGGGGATCTCCCATGGGTGGGTCTCTGCGGCACAGTGCCAGTCTCCTCTCAGCTGCCCGGCCCACCTCCGAGCCCCTCCCGAAGATGTCCAGCTCGTCCTCCAGGAAGAGGCCCGTGCCGTGGGCCAGCCGGCGGTTGACGATAGCGCTGAAGCCACACATGCAGCGGTACTGGTCCTCGAGCGTGGAGTCGGGGATGTACATGCCCACGTCGGCACCCTTCACGTTCATGTTGCAGGCGCAGATGCAGCAGCTGTCGAAGTTGCGGTCCTTGAAGACATTGAGGACTGAGTCAGAGAGGAGCAGGGCGGCGTACAGGCTGTGGGCCTCGGACAGGGCGGGGCAGGACGCATGGGGCTCAGTCACGGAGCTCATAGGCAGGCTGGTGGAGGGCGTGGAGGCAGGGGAGCTCAGCTCTGTCCCGGTACCCTCCTGCTTCACCGAGCCCTGCCCGCTGGCCGTGCCTACGCCCCTGGGGGTGCGGGGGGTACGAGGGGTGGGGACGGAGAAGCGGGGGGTGGCAGGGGATGGTGAGGGGAGGATGCCGCCGGTGGTGCCCATGGACGGGGCGGTGGCACTCATCTGGGCATACTCCTGGTCCCCAACACTGGGGACATTGCTGGAGGACACACACACAAATACACACACAGTAAATTCAACATGGTAACGTTTAAGGAACATTTTATGAACATGCATCCAGATGTAATAGAACCAGCCCTGGTACAGTACTTACACATATCCATCTCTGGTGAAGGAGGCGTGATGAGAGTGCGGCAGGGAGGAGTAGTGCTCCATCTTAGGCAGCAGGGCCCAGGAGGGCCGGTAGTAACACTGGTCAGGCACCTTGAGGGGGGGCAGACACTGGCTGGGGAGGGTCCGCAGCGGAGCAAACATGGAGCAGCCCATCTGTGGCTGGACAGATGGGACACGGTACACAAATGAGAAGTCCTGCAGAGGGGGATGGGGAAGGAGAGCTCATTGCAAATGTGTTCCCACAGTCTCACAATGTGTCACAGAGAGACAATTAGCACTTAACATCGACACAAGTTGAAACAGGCTGTGTGGTGAGGAGCGGTTCAGGTATTTGGTTCCACATACCAGTAAGCCCTCTAGCAGGCCAGCCCAGCAGGTATAAACATGCTACAGCAACATCAGTCAAGATCAAATGAGGCGCTAAGGTTTACATTAACACAGGTTGGCTGCATAGTACCCTGTAGCTACTTTACTTTAAGCCTTTTCACTATTATATCATTGATCATACGACCACCAGTGTTGTGGAGTAGTGAACTACATCTAGTTCAACTAGTAATGTAACTACATTTTGCTGTAGCTTGGTGGTAGTTGAGATCAATTCAAATCTATTTAGTGTTTTCACTACTTAATTACTTTTTTGCCATTTAGCACTGTAGCTTACTACTGGAACTACACATTACTTTTTCTTCAAAAAGAAAATAAAGTATGGGTGAAGGAGCCAATCATTTCCTTTCTTTTTTGGTATCAGACCTGCCTAATTCTCACTTGAAACATACATAGTTTTTTAGTTTAATATGCTAAATTACACATTCTGTTAACATATGACCCCAAAGTGATATGTTCTTGCAATTTGTAGTCAATGACATTACAGGAATGGAAATGATTAAGTTTGTAGTATGTGCAGCAAAACTTGATGATAGACAATTAAAGACGGACTCTACCATATTTGAACAGTAAATTGCAATGGGATTGACTTTGTAAAGTGAGATAAGTCCCATGAAAAGTGACATCATGTAACCGATTGATATATTCAAATTGGTTAATATGGTTAGTGGTCATCAGTGTTTGGGAAACTACTCTGAAAATATAGTTTACCAAGCTACCAATTACTTCACACTGGAAGAAGTTAAGCTACACTAAAGCTACCCTAAAGTTACTCTGAAAAATTGTTCACTACAAACTACTTAGTGAAAAAGTATCATATGTAAATCCATTGCTTCTGTGGTGCCTCACCTTAATGTCCTCATGTTTAGGACTGGCCATGCCTTCCTCCACCTCCATCCGGTACTCCTGGAGCTGGGTGGAGGACAGGGGGCCCAGGGGGTGGTCGGAGCCTCCCGAGGGGGCTGGGGGCTCTTGGCTGGGGGTGTCGCGGTATGTCATGATGGGGGAGAAGGCTGGGTGCTGCTCCAGGGACGGGGGTGTGGGGAACATCCGCTGGAGGTCTGCTACTGCTGAATGAAGAGAGAGAGGGATGGGGGGAGGAGAGAGACAGAGAGAGAGAGAAAGAGAGAGAGAGAGAGAGAGAGAGAGAGAATATAGAGGAGAAGAGAGAGAGAGGAGAGAAGAGAGAGAGAGAGAGAGCCTCTAGAAGGAATAGAGATGAGAGGGACAGTATAGATAGAGTAACGCGGAGTGAGATCGTCGAGATAGAGCGAGATTTCGACTATGAGAGCTCTTCTTGGCTCGTTCTTTCGAGAGGGAGGGGAGATGACCAGAGACACGAACTATAGATAGAGACACCAGACACTAAACAGCCATGCAGAGAAGACGTGAGAGAAGGAGGAGAACAAGAAAGATTATTATTCCCAGGTCTCAGAATCATGCTAAACTAAACTAAGATAACATGCATAAGATAACAAACTAACTGCTGAACATGTGTACATGTAAAGATGGACTCACTTGAAGGATAGGGCACAGCCACCCTCCCCTCCCTTCGGTCTTCACCTCCTGATACCAGGACCCTGGCTGTGTGCTGGTTGGGGCAAGCAGTCTACAAATTATTATACAACACATATGTAAGACTCCTTGGATAAAAGTGTCTGCTAAATGGCATGCACAGTACAGTATACTATTATGTATTATTATGATGAGTGTATAACGCTTTGTGCAAAGCGGAAATGAAAATGAAACAGATTTTAGACATCCAGTAATTGTTCAAATGTGTCTCACCCCAAGTTCCTCCTCATCCTCATCGAAGATGTTCTCCAGGTCTGAGATGAGGACTACCAGATCAGTCTCCCTGGTTAGAGGAGGGTTTTGGGCTTTGGCCGCCTCGTCATCCTGCGGTGAGTCATCATCTAGAAACACACAAACAAGACCCTCAAACACAACGCAAAGAACACACCTCATAATACATGTGTTGGGGTAAAAATTGAATTTAGCAGAGAATATGTATATAGTGTCAACATTCAACTCCTTACCAGCTTTGGGGGCAGAGCTAAAGATGGACATGGCGTCTTTCCCATCAGGCAGTGCACCGTTGCTGATCTCCTCTCCCTGGAAGACAGTTATATTTAGTTTATTCTCCTCTTCAAGCTTGGGTATCCATGAATAGGGCTGTGGCGGTCATTACATTTTGTCAGCAGGTGATTGTCAACCAAATAACTGCCGGTCTCACTGTAATTGACGGTTAATTAACATAAACACATTTAGCAGCTCCTGGCTTCCACGCATAGCCTACAAGCCACTAATGCAAACCTTTGGAACATCTACATTTTATCAATTTAATATAGCCTACACCATCATAATAAATTCATTATTTATTTTAGACAGGTCTAAAGAAACATGATATCAAGAAAATGTTGGCTATTTCAGAAGAACAGAATAGCATACTCTGAGTTGTCCTTATGTTAGGCCCTGATCTGGCTATACCATATGGCTGTGGGCTACACTAGTTCATTTAGCAGACAAGATTTGCTTAGAATTCCATTGCATTATTTTATATTATTTTATATTATGAAGAATACAATTGAACATAGCTGAATAAAATAGAGGATATTTTCTCCAAACGATTTCTAAGGGAGTGCGCACATGCTGCTATTCTGTGTCGAGCGGTTAACAAAGAAACAGGTCCTCCTATATGCTTAATTTAGAGTTATTTATGCAACTTTAGTTGTGATACAAATGTTGAGCTACATGTTTTGATTTTTAATACATTCTAAGGCTGCATGATACGAATCTAATGATGATTTGAAAAAAGTTGCATGAAAGGCATGAGATCTGCTTTGTTTCTTGTGCAGGCTGCACACACTTCCTCAGTCTCTCATTCACAATTTGACAAGCACTTGATAATGCCTAGAATTTCCCAGCGGCATCCCCCTTGTGTGGCCGTAATGCCCCTTTAAAAAATCCATGCCTTTTGCGGCCAGTGGCCATTGTGCTCAAGGGCTGAATATAATAATTATAATTCACTTCTCCCAGCTGCGTGCTCTGAAGCACCTCTCACTCACATGGCTCTCTCAGCTATTTCAACTCTTATTAGCCAATGCCTGTCACGTGATCGGGTCCTTAGGCATCTCAGCTCTGAAGTAGGCTACAAGTGATGATAGACACATCGGGGACGCAACTACTCGCAACAGATCAGAACGTTTAGCTAAAAATGTTGATAAACTATTAGGTTATTTCTTCACATTATAAGCGCAGCAATGCACACACTGCACTAGGCTATAAGTGTGAATGTTCCAAAATGCAATCAATTAGCGGGAAAACACCCTTCTCAAAAGTGACCGTAAATGCGATTATGCATGTAATGCTTTCTTATAAAGGTGCATTTTCATGGTGAAAATGATCTTCCCCAAACTTGAAACTCATGTGCCAGTTAGGCTCTACAGTCGTGGTCAAAAGTTTTGAGAATGACACAAGTATTGTTCTTCACAAAGTTTGCTGTTTCAGTGTTATGAGATATTTTTGTCAGATGTTAATATGGTATACTGAAGTATAATTACAAGCATTCCATAAGTGTCAAAGGCTTTTATTGACAATTATATTAAGTTTATGCAAAGAGTCAATATTTGCAGTGTTGACCCTTCTTTTTCAAGACCTCTGCAATCCGCCATGGCATGCTGTCAATTAACTTCTGGGCCACATCCTGACTGATGGCTGCCCATTCTTGCATAATCAATACTTGGAGTTTGTCAGAATTTGTGGGTTTTTGTTTGTCCACCCGCCTCTTGAGGATTGACCACAAGTTCTCAATGGGATTAAGGTCTGGGGAGTTTCCTGGCCATAGACCCAACATTTCTATGTTTTGTTCCCCGAGCCACTTAGTTATCAATTTTGCCTTATGGCAAGGTGCTCCATCATGCTGGAAAAGGCATTGTTCGTCACCAAACTGTTCTTGGATGGTTGGGAGAAGTTGCTCTCGGAGGATGTGTTGGTACCATTCTTTATTCATAGCTGTGTTCTTAGGCAAAATTGTGAGTGAGCCCACTCCCTTGGCTGAGAAGCAACCCCACACATGAATGGTCTCTGGATGCTTTACTGTTGGCATGACACAGGACTGATGGTAGCGCTCACCTTGTCTTCTCCAGACAAGCTTTTTTCCGGATGCCCCAAACAATCGGAAAGGGGATTAATCAGAGAAAATGACGTTACCCCAGTCCTCAGCAGTCCAATCCCTGTACCTTTTTCCAGAATATCAGTCTGTCCCTGATGTTTTTCCTGGAGAGAAGTGGCTTCCTCGCTGCCCTTCTTGACACCAGGCCATACTCCAAAAGTCTTCGCCTCACTGTGCGTGCAGATGCACTCACACCTGCCTGCTGCCATTCCTGAGCAAGCTCTGCACTGGTGGTGTCTCGATCCCGCAGCTTAATCAACTTTAGGAGACGGTCCTGGTGCTTGCTGGACTTTCTTGGGCGCCCTGAAGCCTTCTTCACAACAATTGAACCTCTCTCCTTGAAGTTCTTGATGATCCGATAAATGGTTGATTTAGGTGCAATCTTACTAGCAGCAATATCCCTGCCTGTGAAGCACTTTTTGTGCAAAGCAATGATGACGGCACGTGTTTCCTTGCAGGTAACCATGGTTAACAGAGGAAGAACAATGATTTCAAGCACCACCCTCCTTTTAAAGCTTCCAGTCTGTTATTCTAACTCAATCAGCATGACAGAGTGATCTCCAGCCTTGTCCTCGTCAACACTCTCACCTGAGTTAACGAGAGAATCACTGACATGATGTCAGCTGGTCCTTTTGTGGCATGGCTGAAATGCAGTGGAAATGTTTTTTGGGGATTAAGTTCATTTTCATGGCAAAGAGGGACTTTGCAATTAATTGCAATTCATCTGATCACTCTTCATAACATTCTGCAGTATATGCAAATTGCCATCATAAAAACTGAAATTTATATTTGTGTCATTCTCAAAACTTTTGACAACGACTGTACACCGGTTGTAAAGCGGATTAATGTGCTTAATTTTAAGAAGTTATTTGGCCACTTTAGTTGTGATACAAACCTTATCAAAACATATAGGCCTATGGGCTAGGGTACAGGGGTGTGTGACTATGATTAGAAAAAGTCGCAAAAAAAGGCATGCGCTGTTTCTTGCCTTACTGCACACAAGCTAGGCATCATTCACAAGTGATAGGTTATTATTGTCACCCATCAGACTATTCTTGATTTAATCTTGTCTTTACATATAATAGATAATATATGTGTGAAATTAGTTTGGATTTAGAATGGACCATTATCATGCACATGTCTCGGAACAGGGGCAGGGGCAAAAATACATGTAATCTATGCATTTAAATAGTGAATGGAGGACGCTTTTCCAGTGGTTCATTTTCATGCCAGCCAGGTAGGCTATACTCCTGTTGTAAAGTGAAGCAATGTGCTTAATAGTAGAAAAGTTGAGAAATAAATATAATAGGCCTAGCCTATAGAAAGCTGATGGTATCCTCCTCTTTTTAATAGATGCCATCAAAACTCTGTTTTCTCACGCAATTGCACAGCCTATAGAGATGTTGCGCAACATGAGCTCATGGGCTCTCACAAAGTGTTTGATTTAATTTTCGATTACATTTGCATTGATGTCAGAGTGATTAGAGGGACAATAGAGTGCTGAGTTCCAGACAGTTAGCAAGTTTGGTAGGCTACTAATGACCATCAGCATCATCAGACCTTGGAGAAGCCTAGTTACCATGACTAAACATTCACTTGGAATTTGACTGTGGCGGTAATACAGTCACTGTAACAGCCATATCCACCAACAATAATAATCATAAAAATAAAAATAAAAAACGTACCTTGGGGCCTCTCTTGCTAGGGTCTCGGCCCTTCAGTCTCTTGGAGGTGGGGAAGCTGTACTCTATGTCTCCCTCCTTGAAGTCGTAGGGGTCGTCCCCAGGGTCCCCCAGCCCTTCCACCCCAGGCTGCTGCAGTAGACCTAGGGTCTGGATGTGTTCCCTAACCCGCTCCTCTGAGATTTTGAAGCGCTTCTGTGTCTGCATGAATAGTCTGGAGGGAAATTAGATAGGAAATTAAGAGAGATCCTTTAAGTGTGTGTATGTGTGTGTGTTTGCGTGCCTGCGTGTGTGCATGCTGGAGTGTGTGTCTTTAGATTCTACATTCATGAACTGCTTTTTCTCTCTCTCACCTCTTCAGTGCAACTCCCTCAGTGGCCTGTGTCTCTGTTTTTAATTCCACTCTGTCACTGGGCAGCTCTGGAGGCCTGAACTCAGCCTTATCAGCCCTGGGAGTCCTGAAGCCCCTCCACCAGCACACCCCAGCATCCCTCTCTCTGGGCCCCAGAGGGGCTGCATAGAGAGCCGTCTCACTGGGCTCCATCACCACCAGCCCTGATGCCCCGTCTGGACAGGGGGCCATGCCCACAGGGGCGTCCAGTACCTCGGGGTCCTGCCCCACCCGCGGATGGGGGCTGAGCGTGGGGGGTAATGGGGATACGGGAGAGTGGAGCAGGGACTGGGGGGCTTTCCTGCCAGCTGAGAGGGGCTTGGGGTACTTGCAGCTGGGCATGGGATCCAGGGGAGGGTCCAGGGCGACTAGGACGAGCTGGGACCCTCCACTGGAGTCTTGTTCCAGGCAGGCCTCCTGGCCCACAGAGAGGCGGTGGTGGAAGGGGGTCATGGCGGCGACCCTCTTGGGCTGTTTGTCGGGTTTCTCAGACTTGTCCGTGGCCTTGTGCTTAGGCAGGGAGGGAGGGGGGAGGGCTGGGCCGGAGGAGGGGGTGGTGTTGGCACCAGACAGAGGGTTGGCAGAGGAGGTGTTGATCTGCTGCTGTTGTTTCTGCTGCTGCTTTAACCTTCAGGAAGAGAAACAGGATCAGATGGCAGCCAGAACTAGTGTGACAGGTGAGGATTCTGTTCTTAAACATACTGAACACTTTCAACTATGTGTAGCAACTTATGAGAACTTGTCTACATCATATCATATCATATCAACACAGTACATTTAATACATATACATACAGTATATTTTCACAATGTTCACATTATTTCTACATAATCAATACGCAATATTCAATTTCAATATGCTTTAAAATGAAGCCCAGATGTCTAGCTGGGTGGTGCCATGCTGCAGTGCTAAACAGCTGGGGCACTACCCCCTGATGCCAACCTGGAGCAGCTGCAGGGTGCCCTCTCCCCTGGGTCGGTGAAGTCCCACGTGGTCACCCCGTTTGGCGCCTCCTTCTTTAGCGTCACGCTACTGGGCACACTGCATCTGTGGGCACAAAGTTGTGTCACTGCACATCAACAATAACAATCCCACCGCAGATGCCAAGAGATAAACAGTGCTGTGTCTGGAGCTGTGCCCTGGTTAGCCAGCAGCCTCTCTGGGCACTCACTTGTGTTGCAGTTGGTTGAGATAACACTCCTTCCACGCCTGATGCACCACCTGATTGGTCAGTTTCTTCCCAGAATGCTTTGGGCTGTGGTTGGTGGCCCCCATTGCACTCTCCTGGGCAGGGAGGACGCTGGACACTGTCACAAAGCCACTGTCTGCTGAAATAAACAACAGATGACATTATTCACTGGAGTTTGTTCCCTTTGGCAAGGCTGTGGGTGGATGTCTTAAAAGTGCATGGCAGGAGACACTTTACTAGGACTCTTGAGATATTGAAAGATTGCAATCAGACACTCAAGAACAACTCTGCAGCTATAGCATCATTAGTTTGTTTGTTTGTATCAGCTGTTTTATCTCATAATATGTTAGATATTCATCAAGCAGACTTCATTCAATGTTGATTATAGATTTTATTGCATTTAGAGTTTGGTTATGGATTGCAGTATTGAGTTATTTTGCTGTTGTGCAAATAGAGCTGATTCAGAGTCATTTTGGGTACGCAATTATTTAGGGTCAAGTTCTGGAGTTTATGATGATGATATGGCGTGGTAGTAGAGGCATCCAGTACCTGAGCAGGGCTGTTCAGGTGAGGTTGGGGGTGTGAGAGGGATGCTACAGTGGGAGGGGTCTCTGCTGAGCCCCTGGGCTCCGGGGGCGGGTGGGGGCTGCTCCACAGGCAGGTCGCCATGTGCAACCAGCACAAAGGCTGCTGGGTAGATCATCCTCACACCACCTAAAAGAAGATGAAAGAGTAGAGTTTAAATCCCCTCACACACTCACACAGATGCACTCATATCCACCCCACACACTCCTTCTGTGGCCAATACACACTGCATTGGTTTATCATTGCATGGCCTACAGCAGCTGTCTGGTACTGGGGCTTAGGGAGGTCCGATTTCAATCAGTTCTAATCAATGATGAGGGGTCAGGCAGCCAGTCGATGGGCTTGGCAGCCAGTCGATGGGCTGATTACACCATGCTGTGTATCCGTCACTCCCTGGAGCTTCACTAAGCTCCTCTTTTCTCCTCCTCTCCCCTCCGCTTCTCTCATCTTCTCCCAATCTCTCCTCTCCTCTCCTCCCCTCCTCTCCTCCTCTCTCCACTCCTCCCCTCCATTCCTCTCTCCTTCTCTCCTCTCCTCTAGTCTTTCCTCCTTACCTCAATGCACTCTGAGATACATAACACTACCTCCTTAAGAACACTGGATCCACCACTAATTAACCACCTCCAGTATCATTTAGCCTCAAACAGACAATGAATCTGCAATCAAAGCTGAGACTAAAATCGATGAAGAGCTGTTGTTCTCTGTTGTTCCCTCTTTAGGTGTGATAATGATAATACATTTCAGTAACACCATACCAATAAACTTCACCAATAACCTACTATCACCCATAGCCTATTGTTCATACACGTACACTGAGTATACCAAACATTAGGATCACCCCCCCCCCCCCCCCCCCCTTTTGCCATCAGAACTGACTCAATTCGTTGGGGCATGGACTCTACAAGGTGTCGAAAGCATTCCACAGGGATGCTGGCCCATGTTGTTCCCACAGTTGTGGCAAGTTGGCTGGATGACCTTTGGGTGGTGGACCATTCTTGATACACACGGGAAACTGTTGAGCGTGAAAAACCCAGCAGCGTGTCAGTTCTTGACACAAACCAGTGCGTCTGGCACCTACTACCATACCTTGTTCGAAGGCACTTACATTTCTTGTCTTGCCCATTCACCCTCTGAATGACACATACACAATCCATGTCTTAATTGTCTCAAGGCTTAAAAATCCTTCTTTAACCTGTCTCCTCCCCTTTATATACACTGATTGAAGTGGATTTAACAAGTGACATCAATAAGGGATCATAGCTCTCACCTGGATTCACCTGGTCAGTCTATGTCATGGAAAGAGCAGGTGTTCCTAATGTTTTGTACACTCAGTGTAAATGTTGTGACATCCCTCTCACTCTGTCTGCTGGGATCTCCTGTTTGGTAGTCTGCTTGTTGCAGGAGGCCAGTGGGCAGAGCTGGGAGGATCATCAGCTGATGTGGCGCACCTGGGCAGGCTTGGCCTGCAGGCTATAAAGGCTGGCCACATCAGTCAACACTCTCTTCCCTGACTGGCAGGCTGGCTTCCACCACCTTCATTTTTTTATTCTGTTTTCACCATACAACACCCTCTCCACACACTGCATACACTGCATACGACTGATCCTACAGACGTCCACAACTTATGTTACATTTTTGTATTTATTATTATTTAGTTTAATAAATGTATTCCTTTTTACATTTAAGTCATGCGCGGTCTCCCTTTGTTGTTACGAACTATGAGCCAGGTCGTAATAATGTATCTACAGCAAAGTGTGTCCATTCAGTTACATTCAAAGGTAGCAAGCAGGGCCGGCTCCAGGCATAAGCGACATAAGCGGCCGCTCCCGAGTGGGAAGTTTAGGAACTCAGTCGGGTCTCAACTTACTGTTGAGTTAGAATAGTAGAATACACAAGGTGCAAGTTCTACATTTGGTTGTGCATGAGCAGTTTTTCTCTTGTTTTGTCAGTCACTGACAGTCACTCAATCAGATAACAATTTTTTGATTGGTAAGTTAGTCTAGCCAGTTATCTAAACTTGTAGTAATCATGGCGGAATACCGACCAGGGCACGTGTCCAGGGGCCCTGACCTCCAGGCGGCCCACATTGATTTTGTTAGTCACTCTCACTCAGATCATATTAAAAAAGGCTAATATTTCTCTCCACCCCATGGCAAAAAATGGTTAGAATTGCAGGAAATTAGTTTAAAAATAAAATAAAATGTGCCCGCTTGCTGGGGGGCCCCCAACCAAATCTCACTTATGGCCCCCAAAAGGCTGGAGCCGGCCCTGGTAGCAAGAGTGTTTAGAGCGTTCCCATACATACCTACGATGACCTCGACGGCCACATGTCTGTGGGGGTCAAATGGTGGGTCAGTGCCCTCCCTCTCTGCACCCATGCCCCCCGTGCCGGCACCCCCTGTGCCTCCCTCTCTGTGGTGCTGCAGCACCATGGGGTAGAAGTAGCTCCACTCCTCCATCAGCTTCCTCACGGCTTGGTCACTCATCTTATAGGCCTGGCCCGTCAGAGAGCCCGCTAGACCATACGGACTCAGGATCACTGCAGGGGCAACGGGTGGAGGGATGGACAGACAGACATAGAGTCAGATAGATGGACATACAGATAGGAGCACAGACACATAGATAGGTAGAAGTAGAGACAGACACATAGATAGGTAGAAGTAGAGACAGACACATAGATAGGTAGAAGTAGAGACAGACACATTGATAGGTAGATAGAATAGATAGTCAGAGAGAGGAGCACAGAGGTGCATTATATCAGAAAGGACCACTGTCATGTTCAGATTCAGAGATTTGATAATACACATAGTTATGACAGTGATGCTCAGGCTAAAACAGAGGCGGGTAAAGACATCCAGTGGGTTGGCTCTTACGTCTCTCTGTTTCCCTGGGTGTGTCTCACCTTGTACAGGGGCTGAGGAGGTCTGGGCCAGGCGGATGTGGTCGTCAGTGATGTGGTAGGCAGGCTGGTGTTGGGCGATCTCTACGCTGGTGCACACATTACTCTCCCCATGCAGGAAGAAGGTGAAGGAGCATGATAGGTGCTCACTGTAGAGACAGATAGAGAGAGACACAGAGACAATGTCAGTCATATACAGTCTCTATGCAGTAAAGACTTTTCACCGCAGAGAGAGAGACATTATAGAGACAACATTTCTGGCACTTTGCACTAAGTTGCAGTTATACCATGTAGTTACTATGGTAACAGGGATGCCGTTAGCTCCCCATGGTAACTACAGATGAGTAATAGTGAGCTGCAGATTTGTACATACTGTAGGTGAGAAAACAGACTTAATGTGTCTTTGAAAATACAAAGCTTTTCATAAAAGCATATAAGCTTATCGTTCATCTTCCGTCATATACTGTAGGTCCTTATTGCGGGAACAAATCCTAATTTACCTATGATTGATTAAAGTGACATAATGTATATGTATGGCCTCTACTCTTTAGTACACTTCCTGGTACAGTTTATCACGGTGGTCTTTGTTTTATCACACATGTAATAGCTAATCCATTATTGTGATCTATAACTGAGGGTGGGCTGGACATCATTAACCACCAGATTGTTCCATTGATGTACATTTTTAATCTATAAACCCCATCGCCTGTCTGGCCAGGCTTATAAACCAGTAGACAATAAACTCAGCATGTAATCTCCATGTGATTACCCTGCTGCCTAGTGCCTATGTAATATCTCTGGGCCATACGGATAATATCTCAGGGTATGTTATTCACTGTTGATGTGGCCTGAAGATGGCGCTGAGTGATTAGGTAGAGAGGCCAGTTTCTCAGCTACATAAACATTCCTCAAGCTCACCAAGAAAAGCATACCATCATAACAGCAGGCGGTTCCAGCACTGCTATCCAGACTCACACACTGACACACACACTGAGGCACACACACACACACAAACACACACAAACACACACACTTCCTGATGTTCCAGCTGCTGCATCAGGCCATGAGGCCACACTGGCCTCTACACCTCCCATCTCAATCATTTAGATCTCTACAGCACATGTAATATATATTTTTCTTTATTTAAAAAATCAATGTCGCTCCCCTCCACCCCCTTACTTAATGCCACATGAAGAGCTATTTATAGCCGTGAGGAGCACCTTCAGGGGATAGTCTGTAGTCAAGAGTCCAATCCAGCCCAGCAACAACACACACACACGCCCACAAATGCACATATTCAGCCAAGTTGGAGCTACTGTATGAAAAGCATGCTTTGTTGTCTGACGCTGCCTCCCTATGGTGACTTTTCATCACTGCCCAGTGTGAAGTCATCCATATGAGAGTACAACAGTTGACAGGCCTTTGGGATACAGTCGTGTACAAAATAATGCAATAGGGTTAAAGTTCTTCCCCTACTGTAGGGAACATAACAATATAAGAATGACAGTAAGTATGATTGGAGGGTTTGCTAAACTTCAAAATTGTCAGCTCCAGTTTTCATATTTCTATTTCTAGGTGGCCAAATTAAACAATTACTTAAGACAAAATTATTCTACATTTACGTCATTTAGCAGACGCTCTCATCCAGAGCGACTTACAGTTAGTGAGTGCATACATTTTTCATACTGGCCCCCCAGGGCAATCGAACCCACAACCCTGGCGTTGCAAGCACCATGCTCTACCAACTGAGCTACAGGAGGTTCTCTATTTGTATTGTTCCCCTTAGTTTCACACACTGAAAATATTTGATCAACCATAAGTACAATCTCTAACTTTGACAACTGTCTTCTGACACACTGTCTATCACTTCTGGAGAGTCTCCATTTCCAATGCCTCCATACACTTTTAATAAGTATTGTGTAAGGAGCTCCCACAATTTCCTCCTCACACTGGTCATTCTATTTACTCAACAGTCAAGCCCCCTGTTTATACTCAAGCAGGAGACAATCTCCTGGGGTGCTCCATTTTTTTCCAAGAGCTGCCTTCGAAAACACACATTAGTCCTTTCCATGACTCCCCCGTGACCCTTTCTCCTGACAGAGCAGGAGAGGGAGGGAAATCTCCATGAAAACGTTTCCAACCTAAAAGATCACCGCCCAGCTCACTAGCTGGCTTCTCCCCTCCCTCCTTGTCTCTACTGAGTGCGTGGAACATCCAGTAGTCAGAACACTGTCTTTTCATATTTCAACAGTGTGGCAGGGGGATGTAAGCTGAAAGTCTACCGCCCAGACTGACTGGCTAACAGCACTGTGAGTTTACCTTGGTAAATCTACTAGAGCACATACAGTGGTTATACTGTACCAACTATTTCCACAATATAGGGTATGATAACAATAAGGACAATGTACTGTCAATCACAACAATCAGAAGATAATGCTTTGCTCCATTTCAGGCAACAACACAGACTGAGTACGTTTACATGCGCAGGAATAATTCGATATTAAACAGATTGTGGCAGTAGGCAGATTATGCAATAGTCATGTAACACCTTATTCTGTTTATCTTAATCCCAGTAAGGTCATAATCGAAGTAAGCATACACCGATTAAAACACATGGTTTTCTGAGCCGTCTTTCAAATTATTAGGACATGTAAACGCCTTTACCTTTTACTGCAGTGGGCTAAATCAGGGTCTACTTTGAAATAAAAGTATACACCTCACACACATGGTTATGAGCTTAAAAAAAGAAGACACCTGTACCATGTCAGATATAGAGTTGAAATGTATTAAATGTTGAGTTTGCATCCCAATATTACACTTTATATATATCACAGAAGACTGAAATATAACAAAACCGTTTGACATAGACACACCGGATTTTCAGCGTAAAAATAATACATGTTTATAATTATGAAATTATGAAAAATATTAATAACATTCCACCCATGAGGCCACTAGGTCATTTGACTGCAGGAAAGGCTACTCAGCGTTCCAGCAGTGTATTTGATCTGCTCATGTGCTAGCACCAGCCGAGCCAGCCTCCCTCTTTAGCACGAGTGGAGTAAGTTCGGAACAACTGAACGTATGCATTTTAGAAGTAGCTTTCACATACAAACTATATATCTCCGAACTCACAATGAAATATGCTTCTCAAAAATAACATGGTCGCTGTGGTAAAAGGTTTATTTTGATTGGCGATTTTCTGCATTTACCAAAGTCCCATCAGGTAGCCTGATTTCAGATGTACCCCTTTTTTCTCCCCAATTGGTAATTAGTCTTGTCCCATTGCTGCAACTCCCATACGGACTCGTGAGAGGCGAGAGCCATGCGTCCTCCGAAACACGGCCCTGCCAAGCCGCACTGCTCGCTTAACCCGGAAGCCAGCCGCAATGTGTCGGAGGAAACACTGTACAACTGGCGACCGAAGTCAGCGTGTATGCACCCGTCCCGCCACAAGAAGTCGCTAGAGCGAGATGGGACAAGGACATCCCGGCCTGCCGAACCCTCCCCTAACCCAGACGACGCTGGGCCAATTGTGTGTCGCCTCATGGGTCTCCCGGTCGCAGCCGGCTGCGACACAGCCTGGGATCGAACACGAGTCAGTAGTGACGCCTCTAGCACTGCGATGCAGTGCCTTAGACCGCTGCGCCGCTCATGAGGCCCGCATGTAAACGTTTTAATCAAACTGTTATATTAATCTGACTATCCACAACAATCGCATTATTATGTGCATGTAACCGTACTCACTGACAAGATCAAAATGGCTCTTGACTGACCATGAGAGGATCTACCAAAACAAAGGGTCATACAACAGTGAGATTGATGCAGCCTGTCCTTTGCAAATGGCATTTTTCTGCACAGTAAGCATGTGTGTGTCAGTGTGTGTGGACATTGGGTTCCCTGCCTGCCTCCTAGGGGGTGCTTAGGCAGTGCTGTGTGCCATACAATGCTCAGTGGCAGGCAGGCAGGCAGGCTAGGCGGAGATGTGCTGTGTGCTGAATGAGCCGGGTATTAATAAATGAACAGGAGTGATGGTGGAGCCTAGCCCTGGGGCTGACAACACTGGAGGTAGAGAGAGAGGGAGGAGAGAGCGAAAAGAGTGGCGAGGAAGCGAGAGCAGCAAGGAGAGAAAGAGAGCTAGAGAGAGGAGAGAGAATGGGTGAGCGAGCGAGAAAAATAGAGGCGAGAGAGAAGGAGGGAGAGAAAGAGGAGAGAGGGGGAGGTGAATAATTCAGCGCCACACACACTCAGATTCCTCCACACTTAACGCTGAGATCACAGCCAGGTTTAATGGCTTGGTACTGAGCACAATTAATGCTTTTATGCTCAAATCAATCACACACTGCAGAGCAGGAGAGAACCCATACACGGCCACTCCATCTACTGTCCCCGGGACCGTGTGTGTGTGTGTGTGTGTGTGTGTGTGTGTGTGTGTGTGTGTGTGTGTGTGTGTGTGTGTGTGTGTGTGTGGTGTGTGTGCATGCACGCATCTCAAATCAAATCAAATCAAATTGTATTTGCCACATGTGCTGAATACAACAGGTGTAGACCTTACAGTGAAATGCTTACTTACAAGCCCTTAACCAACAATGCAGTTTTAAGTAAAAAATAAAAAGAACAAATAATTAAAGAGCAGCAGTAAAATAAAATAACAGTAAGGAGGCTATATACAGGGGGTACCTGTACAGAGTCAATATGCGGGGGCACTGGTTAGTCGAGGTAATTGAGGTAATATGTACATGTGGGTAGAGTTAAAGTGACTATGCATAGATAATAAACAGAGTAGCAGCAGCGTAAAAGAGGGGGTGGGGTGGGGGGGACAATGCAAATAGTCCGGGTAGCCATGATTAGCTGTTCAGGAGTCTTATGGCTTGGGGGTAGAAGCTGTTAAGAAGCCTTTTGGACCTAGACTTGGCGCTCCGGTACCGCTTGCCGATAGCAGAGAGAATTGTCTATGACTAGGGTGGCTGGAGTCTTTGACAATGTGTGTATGTGTGTGTTTGTGTGTGCATGCACGCATCTGTGTGTGTGTGTGTCTGTGTGTGTGTGCATACATGCATCTGTGAGTGTGTGTGTGAGTGTGTGTGCCCACATGTATTTGTCTTACCTAAGAGCCCTACATATCACAGCAAGGTTGTTTGAACACATGTACGTATGATTCAATGCATACACCGAGCATGGCTTTGTTCCGTACGAGAGCCACTGGTGATGTCTACGAGGTGACGACATGTGTTCCTGTGTCATTGGCACCACACTGAGCAGCCTGCCACACAACATGGACCAGCACCACTGGGGGGTCTGAATAATGGTGAGTGAGAGGGAGAGAGAGAGAGAGAGAGAGAGAGAGAGAGAGAGCGAGAGAGAGAGAGAGAGAGAGAGAGAGAGAGAGAGAGAGAGAGAGAGAGAGAGAGAGAGAGAGAGAGAGAGAGAGAGAGAGAGAGAGAGAGAGAGGGAGAGGAGAGTAATGAGATTGTGTTCTGGCTAGATTTCATTATCCACACTCATATGCATACTAAGCACACCATGTGCATTTATACAGACTAGAGAAAATGTGAATCTCCATGCGATGATCCCCACTAATCTGTTCCACCACTTCACTGACCCGACTTTGTCTCTCCGCGCTGCTGCCGAATCTCAATTGTGAATTATCTTAATCTGTCTGGGTGATAATGACTGTTACTAGACGAACGGGCAGCTCCAATCTGCTCTGACCTCTTTATAGACTAACAGAACAAGGCTGACGCTCGTAGCGTGACAATGACCAATAGGAAGACCCTCTTTCTCCTCTCCCATCCCATCCCTTCCCAAACGCCTCTCATTTTAACCAGGAAATCAGGAGAATGCGCCACCCAGACCTACATTATTCATTGGCTGCCCGGTGGGTGGCCTTAGCCTTTGTTTCTGCTAGCTAGCACAATGTTAGCACTTAAACAGAGACCAATCAATTTATATGGCTGCTGCTGCTGCTGTGGAATAAGGTGACTCCTGGTTCAAGGACACACTATTGTACATGTCATGTACATCCACAGTACACACACTGATCCTTTTAAATGATAAACACCCCACACAATGATATCAACTGGAAATAATGCTCATTTATATTTTATTTGAGTGATTTAGTGATCAGTGTTGTAGATAGAAATAGTGCGAACTGGAATAAGATACAATATCATATGATCCATATAATACAACACAGGAACCAGGGGCTTAAGGAAAGTCTCTGTAGATGGTAAATAGCCTACAGTCAACTGATCTTAGAAAGCTAGACAGACTTTACCTACACATTGGAGAGCATAGCTAGCTATAAAAAGAGGATGCGGTGGCTGCTGTGCTGGTGTGATATAAAGCCTTTATTTCTATTGATCCCCTCTCTCTCCTCAGTGACTGAGGTGTTTACATTGCGCTATTTGAATCACAGAGGATAAAGGAAATGTTTCCCTCTGCTTTTTGTAACTCAGTAAATGGGCCTGTCAAAGGATTGCAAGTTTGGAGGTAGGGAGGTGGGTTGGAGGTAGGGAGGTGGGGAGGTAGGGAGGTGGGGAGGTGGGGAGGTAGGGGAGGGAGGGGAGTGGGGGGTGGGGAGGTTGAGGTTTTTAGGTGATTGGTTGGGAGGTGGGATGGTTTTTGGGTGAGGGGGTTTACGTTGGTGTTCTTTTTTTTTCTTTTGGTGTGGGAGGTGGGGTTGTTTTCGCTTGTGTTCTTTGGTGGGGCTTCGGTTTTAGTTCGTTTGAGTGGGGAGGTGGCTTTCGGTGGGGGTGTGAGGCGTTGGAATGTGGGCAGCTGGGCATGATGTCGCGATAGGAAAAATAAATAAATATGAGAAAGGAGAAAATTGGAAGTATATTCCTAACTGACAATTATTATCAACATTTTGCATGTAAGCAATTCTACCAGAATTTCAGGTAGAATTGAAACAGTTCTGACCCCAACCCTGATGATGTCAAAAACAAGTCTAGCATTTTCACAGGTCACTGACGTCTGGTATTATTACATTCCCCAGTAGTGTTGCTCTTCAGTTGAACAGTAATATGTCTGTAAGTCATCATGATGCATTGAGTCACTCAGAAATAAATCAGTGTGTGTTCTCTATCATACATTCATTACATCCATTACACTGCTGACGTGAATCACAATGAATGGACCTGATCACATACAAATGAACAGAAATGAACAGTAAATAACAGTGGATGCCATTACTATCATTCCTAAGCAGTAGTATGTACTGTAAAATGACTGGCAGAAAAAGGCGTAGTATGTTCTCTGCTTCTTTCCCTTCACGCTCTTCAGTCATCTTCCACTTGAAAGGGGCTAAACTGAGCAGTATCCCATGAAGAAAGCCCAGAGGTTAAAAGGAGGGAAACTTCTTGTGAAGTGACTGAGCCACTCAACCATGCGCTATGAGTCATTCGCCACAGAAACCATTGGATGCGCACGCCTGCGCTGCACCGGGAGCCCTACACAAATGCGTGCAAACACAAACACACCCACCTTAGCCAGGCTCAGCTCAGAGCAAGCCCACCTCATCCCTTAGCAGTGTGCCACAATCACTGAGGCTTCAGAGCAGTCAAGCCAGTAGAATGAACTGCCAGTGATCTGTTCCATCCTCTAAGCCACACGCAATGGGAAACAATTAACACGCCACTCTGAGATGCATCTCCATGGATTTGAAGGTGGGGGGGAAGGAGGCAAGAGAGAGAGGAGAGGGAACAATGGAGGAGGGACAGAGGGGGGAGATAGAGGGGAGGGGAGGGAGAGAGCGGGAGAGACATATTTGGGAAGGGGAAGGAGGGAGGGGAGAGGAGAAAGGGGGAGAAAGAAGGAGGGAGAGTTCTCCTTTATTTTACTTTCCTGAGGTAACGGCGTGACCTTGTGATGTAGCCTGACACCAAATGTCCGTTGCCAGGGAGATGGCTAATGTCTCAATGTCATTGGCTCCCTCCTGGCCGAGGGGAAAGGGGAGTGAGGGAAGCCATCCAGACAGCCTCACACTAGGAGCACACACACACACACGCATGCACACACTATAAGACACATGCACACACTGACATACATACACACTAACACAATGTGCATGCAGTATACACACACACCAATATTCATACACACATTTGCAGTGTTGGTATGCAAAGAAAATTAATTATCTCTCACACTACAAAACCCACAATATAAAGTCCCTAAAAAGGGTAATTCTTTGTCTGGCACACAGCAACAGACAGTGAGTTGAGAGGACCAGAGAATAGCACATTGAGAACATACAGATGTAGGATCTTAATTTGATCACCCTGTTGCAGGGGAACTTGCCTGCAATGCAGGAAATGTAAAACTTGTATCAAACCCTACAAAAATGTCCAATAATTATAATCCACATAATAATTCACATTTCCTGATGCTGCAGGATTATTTTCCTGCTGTAGCAAACTGGCTCAAATTAAGATCCTACATCTGTCCTGTACAGTGTCTGTATGCATGAGCATATGGACAGCAAGTAATGCATATGAATGAAGGTAGTGCAGCTGAATAAATGTCTATGTTTAGCATGCGTAGAGTACAGGAGAGGAGGAGAAGCCCTGCGGATGGAGGGTAGCCCCTTCAATACACCCCAACATTAGGGGGGAACGGGGGGGGGAGGGGGGGGGGGGAAGCCAAAGGGGGCGGGCAGCCCCCCCAAACCAACGAGAGAAAGGAAAAAAAGGAGGGGAAGGAGAGGGGGAAAGGGGGAGGGAGAGAAAAGGGAGAGAGCAAAGGAAGAGAGAGGAGCGGGAGGGGAGGGGGGGGGGGGAAAAGAGAGGAGGGGAAGCGAGGGAGGGGGGCCAAGAGGAAAGGGGAAAAGGGCGGGAGAGAGAAAGGGAGAAGAGGGAAAAAGGGGAAGAAAGCAAACAGAGAAAGAGAGAGGGAGAAAAAGGAAAGGAAAAGAAAAGAGGCGGGAGAGGAAAAGAGAGGAGAGAGAGGAGAGGAGGGAGAGAGAGAGAGAGGAGGAGAAAGGGAGAGAGGGGAAAAAAGGGGGAAAAGGGGGGGAAAAAGGGAGGAAAAAGAGGACGGAGAAAAAAGGAGGGGAAAAGGGGGAAAAGGGCCATCTCTCTCTCTCTCTCTCTCTCTCGCTATCTCTCTCTCATCTCTTCTATCTCTCTATCTCTCTCTCTCTCTCTCTCTCTCTCTCTCTCTCTCTCTCTCTCGATCCCTCACTCGCTCTTGCTCCCTCAGCATCTGATGCAATCCGTAACCAACACACAGTCTCTCCCTGGCTCTCAGACACAAAGAGAGGGAAGAGTTGGAAAAGAGGGAGTGTGTGTCATCTAAAGGGAGGGGGGCATCTCTTCATAGATGTGCCAATCCTCCCCATGCCTGAAGGGCACACAGGAAGAAACACCAGAGACTGACAAAGCCAGCGCCAAGGCACGGAACACAGGCAGGCAGGCAGATACAGCCATTTAGCGCCCCCTATGAGACATAGCGCTTCTCAATGGAAGTACAGTGAGGGAAAAAAGTATTTGATCCCCTGCTGATTTTGTTTGCCCACTGACAAAGACATGATCAGTCTATAATTTTAATGGTAGGTTTATTTGAACAGTGAGAGACAGAATAACAACAAAATAATCCAGAAAAACTCATATCAAAAATTGTATAAATTGATTTGCATTTTAATGAGGGAAATAAGTATTTGACCCCTCTGCAAAACATGACTTAGTACTTGGTGGCAAAACCCTTGTTGGCAATCACAGAGGTCAGACGTTTCTTGTAGTTGGCCACCAGGTTTGCACACATCTCAGGAGGGATTTTGTCCCACTCCTCTTTGCAGATCTTCTCCAAGTCATTAAGGTTTCGATGCTGACGTTTGGCAACTCGAACCTTCAGCTCCCTCCACATATTTTCTATGGGATTAAGGTCTGGAGACTGGCCGTGTGTTTTGGGTCATTGTCATGCTGGAATACCCATCCACGACCCATTTTCAATGCCCTGGCTGAGGGAAGGAGGTTCTCACCCAAGATTTGACGGTACATGGCCCCGTCCATCGTCCCTTTGATGCGGTGAAGTTGTCCTGTCCCATAAGCAGAAAAACACCCCCAAAGCATAATGTTTCCATCTCCATGTTTGATGGTGGGGATGGTGTTCTTGGGGTCATAGGCAGCATTCCTCCTCCTCCAAACACGGCGAGTTGAGTTGATGCCAAAGAGCTCGATTTTGGTCTCATCTAACCACAACACTTTCACCCAGTTCTCCTCTGAATCATTCAGATGTTCATTGGCAAACTTCAGACGGGCCTGTATATGTGCTTTCTTGAGCAGGGGGACCTTGCGGGCGCTGCAGGATTTCAGTCCTTCACGGCGTAGTGTGTTACCAATTGTTTTCTTGGTGACTATGGTCCCAGCTGCCTTGAGATCATTGACAAGATATTCCCGTGTAGTTCTGGGCTGATTCCTCACCGTTCTCATGATCATTGCAACTCCACAAGGTGAGATCTTGCATGGAGCCCCAGGCCGAGGGAGATTGACAGTTATTTTGTGTTTCTTCCATTTGCGAATAATCGCACCAACTGTTGTCACCTTCTCACCAAGCTGCTTGGCGATGGTCTTGTAGCCCATTCCAGCCTTGTGTAGGTCTACAATCTTGTCCCTGCCATCCTTGGAGAGCTCTTTGGTCTTGGCCATGGTGGAGAGTTTGGTATCTAATTGATTGATTGCTTCTGTGGACAGGTGTCTTTTATACAGGTAACAAACTGAGATTAGGAGCACTCCCTTTAAGAGTGTGTTCCTAATCTCAGCTCGTTAGCTGTATAAAAGATACCTGGGAGCAAGAAATCTTTCTGATTGAGAGGGGGTCAAATACTTATTTCCCTCAATAAAATGCAAATCAATTTATAGCATTTTTGACATGCTTTTTTTCTGGATTTTGTTGTTGTTATTCTGTCTCTCATTGTTCAAATAAACCTACCATTATACTAGGGGTGTAACGATCCATCTACTACATCGATGTATCGATTTATATTCCTATGATCCAACTACATCGATCTGTGCTCGGCGAGTTGGCCTTTTGGACAACATATATCAATCTAACATCGTTTTAAAATGTAATAAATCGATTGTATCGATACTAGGAAATAACCCATTGGATTTAAGCACGTCAGACTTTATATGGATGTTTTTTCTTAGCACTTTTAATGATAAAGGCTTTAAACATTACTCGATTCAGTCTGCCTATCCGTGACATCATCGCCCCGCGCCAGCAGCAGCGCAAAGGCGCAAAGACAACAAAACATAGCATGGCGGACGACAGAGGAGAAGCCGACGAGCGAGAAATTATCAAGCCAACATTGCGGTCCTTACAAGAAACAGGAATCTAGGAAACTTAACCTGCACTGTCCAGTATCCAGGTATTTATTTCAGTCACACTGGTTGAATTTTTGGCTAAAAGGTTACTGAATCCATTTCAAGTCACTGAATCGTTTCGGATCGTATCGTTCTAAATGAACCAATATCGTCCTTGAATCGTATCGACAACCACGAATCGTGATACAAATCGAATCGTTGTTAAAACGAATCGTTACACCCCTACATTATACTTATAGAGAGATAATTTCTTTGTCAGTGGGCAAATGTACAAAATCAGCAGGGGATCAAATACTTTTTTCCCTCACTGTACATACAGGACAAGGCAGTGAAGGCACAAAGGAGGCAGCAGCAGTGGCACACGCTCAACTGAGCAATGTTCCAATGTGCATGATGTCACTGATAGCTGGGCTCTGTGAAGGCTGACCTCTGTGAATTGTGTTGTGGGTTGGTCATGTCAAGTGTGTGTGTGTGCATGTTTGTTCCGTGTGAGTGTGCATTTGTTTCTTTGCACGTCTTTGTTCAATTGTGTGTGATCACGATTAAGATTGAATGTGTGAGTACATCTATACGTGTCTGTTTCTGTTTGTGTTGGTGTCCGTGTGTCTGTATGTCCGGGTGTTGAGCAATGACGCTGTTTTTTCCCAACTTCCTCTCTCTTCTTCTCTTTCTTTCTCGCTCTCGCTCTCACTCACGCACTACACTCACTCACGCACTCACCCACTCACTCACTCAGCACTCACCACTCTCTCTCCTCTCTCTCTCTCTCTCTCTCGTCTCTCTCTCTCTCGCTCTGTCTCTCTCTCTCTCTCTCCGCTTCTCTCTCTCTCGCTCTCAACTCACTCTCTCCAACCTCCTCTGTCTCTCCTCTTCTGTCCCCTCCTCTCTAGCCTCTATACCTCTCTCCTCTCTCGCTCTATCCCTCTCTCTCTCTCTCTCTCTCTCTCTCAGTCTCTCAGTCCCCCTCAGCTCCTCTCTCTCCTCTCTCTCTCTCATCTCTCTCTCTCTCTTCTCTCTTCTCTCTCTCTCTCTCTCTCTCTCTCTCTCTCTCTCTCTCTTCTTCTCTCTCTCTCTCTCTCTCTCTCTCTCCAGAGCAGTCTGTTCAATAATTCACAGGGAGGCAGTGGGGCAGGCTCAGCAGGGGGTGTGCCAGCTGACAGTGTGTTCAGACAAAGCTGTCAAACTGGAGAAGAATCAGGTGGGTGCAACAGGGGCTAGTCCCGCTTCCCTCACATACTGTAGGACCCCCTCTCACACACAGCAGGCGGTTCCAGCACTGCTCTCCAGACTCACACACACACACACACCCTGGCCTCTCAAAGCCCAGCATGGGGGCTAGCCAAATCTGGTCTCTTTGGGAAAGTCCTGCACTCTTGAAGCCCCAGCCCAGTCTCAGCAAGACATGCAGCCCCCCCCCCCCTTCCACCACCACTTCCATACACACACCCCAGCTTGTCACAGCCTAACCCCACCCTCACAACCCCCTCCTTAGGGGAAGAACAGCTCCTTATAGCTCTAAGGAGTGTCAAGGGGGGGGGGGGGGGGGGGGGGGGGGGGGGGGGGGTCACATTTGTCCAACCCCCACAGCTACACTCCTCTTTCAAAGCAGAGGGGCCATGTTGTTCTATAGAGACTATAGTCTATTGTTTTATCCACCCTCCACTTAAGACAGACGCATCATCATCACACAGCAGCATCAACACACAGATTCCATCACTGGAACTCAACACATCTACCATCCCCTTGTTCAGGACAGTTTCCTTTCCTCCTCCTTCTCTCTTCTTCACTCACTCGCTCCTGCTCCAGCCCTCCTTCAGAGTGATAGAGTTTCTCCTCCTCTCTGTCCTCCAGCTCTTCCCTGAGTGGCGGCGCGCAAGCCTTTTTCTTTTCTATTTCCCTCTCTCCCTCCTCCCTCTTCTCCTCCTCAGTGCTCTTCTCTCTCCTCCTCCTCACTTTGCATCAACACTGGAGCTGACTGATCTCTCTACGACTCCCTTTTCGCTCCCTCTTTCTTTCTCTCTCTCTCTCCCTCTCATAATTTTCTCTCTACACAGTCAAAGCAAAGACAATGCCGTCTTAATAGGCAAATTAATTAGCACGCTGCAATTCAACTCATTAAAAACTGAAGCAAACTGTGGCACAATGAAGACAATGTTCACACTAAACGCAGCGCAGAGGAAGACATGATTTAGAGAAAACATCGCATCCATGACAGTTTAGGACGCCCACACACTTTAATTGTGATTGCTTTGTGGAGCTGCCGTAGCTCAAACGACGACGAGGCAACAGCGGTGTTATTTTGTGAGACTTATTTTCTCATTTGGTTAGAGGACGCTCTAAAACCGCTACAACAAACATAGGCTGAGTAGTGGCCTTGTGTTCTCTTCTGCACCTGTGTCTTTTTGTTACCTGCCTTATCTCATCTCTCTCTAGTTCCTATTTCCTGCATGCTGTGTCCTAACCTAGGAACGAGTCACACTTGATTCCTTCAACACCTTTGGAATTGTGCCACAGCGGGCAGCTTTATTGCTGGCTGGAATCTCCACAGCTACATAGGAGAGGATCTCACTCCTAAAAACACATTTGGCTTACTAGATATGGAGAGGTTCTCGACTTTCTCAAAATGTAACTCAATGTATTTGCAGAATTCAAATCAAATCAAAGTATTATCTAACAATTTCACAACTTATACCCAATACACACAAATCTAAGTAAGGAATGGAATTTAAGAATATATACATATATGGACAAGCAATGACAGAGCGGCATGGACTAAGATACAGTAGAATATTATAGAATACAGTATTTACATATGAGATGAGTAATGCAAGATATGTAAACATTATTAAAGTGACTAGTGTTCCATTTCTTAAAGTGGCCAGTGATTTCAAGAGGCAGCAGCAGCCTCTAATGTGCTAGTGATGGATATTTAACAGTCTGATGGCCTTGAGATAGAAGCTGTTTTTCATTCTCTCGGTCCCAGCTTTGATGCACCTGTACTGGATTGGAACTAATTAACAACTTAAGATATGTCATGATTCTCTCTGTCTGTATTACAATATTTTAGATGATTCGTGTCTTTGACTGAATTGGTTCCTGTAACCTAGCAGATATTAATATCTGTCTAATTGATGCACAGATGGAATTATATCCTTACTGTACATAGTGGGTATTTTGATAAAAACTGCAATAATACACCAAACTGAAGCAAAGCAACAAGTAGAGCTACAGGGCAATTCCACGTTAACGGAATTGCGTTGAGACTCAGATTTTTCACTTTAAAATGTATGACAAACAAAAACCATTGATTTCAAAGATTTACAAACCAACAACTCTATACACAACTATATGCACAAGGACTACTTTTAACAATATACACTGAACATTTTACGAAAACACATTTACTGGAAGAACTGTGTAGATGCAAAGTTTAGTAACAGAATTTCGGTAAAATCTCCTTCAGTATTTTACATGTTCACGTTTTCCAAAAAGATCTGATGCAAATTAAAGATTCAAAGATGTCTGCAGAAAGAACGGGGTGTCCGCTATGACATGACACCTTGACTTTGAGCTATTGAGCTATTGAGGTGGTTGAACTACAGTAAGTGAAGTGGATTTAGACCCGGTAACAGAATTACGATAACAGAATTTCATCATGGGTCCCTGATCTGTACTACACAGAAATACATAATTATGGATATGAATGTTATTCTCTTCATGGGGATGTATCCTAAATAGGTACAAAGGTAGAAATATGCATATCCTTCTTTTGCATATTTGGGTATTATTCTACACGCTGCTATTATTTTAATGAGCTCCGACCCCAAACAAGACCAAATTTCGTTGTTCCGGACCGGACCAAATCTGAACCAATCACAGACTTCTGTTTCACAAGTTTAGACATCAAAGTACAGCACAGTAGATCTCAGTAGACAGAGTACAGTACAGCACAGCACAGCACAGAACAGCACAGTAGAGTAGAGTTCAGTAGAGTATTATACAATAGAGTACAGTACAATACAGTACATTAAAGTGTACTCAACAGGAGTGTACTGTACTATACTCTACTCAATTGTTTTACTTTACTTAACTGTACTGTACTGTACTCTAGTGTACTCTACTGTACTGTACTCTACTGTACTGTACTGTACTGTACTCTACTGTACTGTACTGTACTCTACTGTACTCTACTGTACTGACTGTACTCTACTGTACTCTACTCTCCAAACGTTATTATTGTGTTTTGATGTATTACTAATAACTGACCTTCACATGTTGATGCTCATGGGTTCCTTTTACATGGAAATGCCCTACAACAACCATGCCCCTCTCCTGTGCTCCTGTTCTCTGTCAGTCTCTGATACGCACAAACGCACACACACACACACAGCCCCAAGCCTCTCCTCTGCTCAGCTCTCACACCTCGCCACCGTTCACTAGCCCGCTCTCAACAGTCTCACGTTCGAGCAGTCTGGCAGACCAGCTCTCGCACTGTCACACACACACACACTTCGGACTAGTCGTCTGCGAGCCTTTCCCACCTGCGAGCGCAGTGACATGATCCGAGGGACTAACAGCACAGGTGCCAAGAGGCAGCCAGAGGTGTCACCACATCCCAGACGGGATGGGAGCAGCCGCCGCACGGCAACCATTCACACCGCCTGTCTGTCACACTCCCCCAGAGCTCCCCAACGCTCCCTTAACGTCACGCTAGTTATCACCGTGTCAGAACAACGTGGCGGGGATGCTGTGAGGAGGTTGTGTGTGGGATTGAGAAGGATGGTTAGCTCACCTGGTGGCCAGATGCTTCTCCTCCAGCTCGTATGGCTTGACGAACCACTTCCCGATCCGCACAAAGTCCTTGTCCATCAGACACCTGGGGGATGGGAGACATTAAACAACTGTATCACATACACACAGGTAAAGGATCATAAACACACAAATATACATGCACATAGACACATAGACACATACACTTTACATAGAGATTGACACACATATACCCAATCAGGGAAGCACAGAAAATAGAATAGAATACATTTATTTTCATACATCAACACTCACATCAATGGAGTTACACAGTTCCTTGAGATACATTTTCTTTTTAAGGCTTTATGACAATCCAATATATAGCAGAGGTATAGAGTTGTAAGAGAGGAGGAGGTAGACTCAAGGTAATAAGAAGGTTAATTCAGCCTGCCCCCCTATGATGATCATTGATGTTTAACTTCATTGAGAACAAATATGTGCTGGTTCATTTAGCAGATGGGAATTCTTTATTGGAGTCATTGATTCAGTCCAGGTTGTAATTAGATTATTACTTGAAGTCTTTTAACCGTTGGTGGTTTGGTATTTTTGCCAGAATCCTTTCCTGTCTTTCCTTAGTTAGTGGGATAAGAAATGGTTATATGAGCAGAAACAGCCTATAACTAGACTGGGAATATTCAGCTTACTTTATATCCAGACTATATGACACAAGTCGTTTTCCAAGTAGCTCATGGACATTAGTTGTACTGTACCTCTCCAGCAGGTTGTGAATGGCCTTGAACAGGAGGGTCCGGCATTCGTATGACAGCCCACACTCCCATAGTCCCTCCTCAGCCACTGGAATACAGGATCAGATGATGGGTTAGCAGCTGATAGTTACAGTGAGATCAACACAGTTCATACACTCAAACACATTGCACAGTACACAAAGACACACAGGAGACATTCTCCATTGACTGCAATGCCAACAGCACAAGAGGCTTCTAAGACTACAGATGAACGTTACCCACAGACAAGTATCTACATGTACATCCATCCACAGACTGACTCATCAGAAGCCCTTAACAACTGCTACATTATCTTCCATACACGTTAAACCACTGTGGGGCACTGTGGAAGAAACAACAAGGACCACTGTGGGGCACTGTGGAAGAAACAACAAGGACCACTGTGGGGCACTGTGGAAGAAACAACAAGGACCACTGTGGGGCACTGTGGAATAAACAATAATATATGCCATTTAGCAGACGCTTTTATCCAAAGCGACTTACTGTCATGCGTGCATACATTTAACATATGGGTGGCCCTGGGAATTGAACACACAATCCTGAAGTTGCAACCGCCATGCTCTACCAACTGAGCCATACAGGACATTTTTTTTTTTTTTTTTTACATTTTTAGTCATTTAGCAGACGCTCTTATCCAGAGCGACTTACAGTTAGCAAATAGATCTTTTTTTTATTTTATTTTATTTTATTATTTTTTTTTATACTGGCCCCCCGTGGGAATCAAACCCACAACCCTGGCGTTGCAAACGCCATGCTCTATCAACTGAGCTACATCCCTGCCGGCCATTCCCTCCCCTACCCTGGACGACGCTGGGCCAATTGTGCGCCGCCCCATGGGTCTCCCGGTCGCGGCCGGCTGCGACAGAGCCTGGATTCGAACCAGGATCTCTGGTGGCACAGTTAACACTGCGATGCAGTGCCTTAGACCACTGCGCCACTCGGGAGACTACATACAGGACCACTGTGGGGCACTGTGGAAGAAACTATAAGGACCACTGTGGGGCACTGTGGAAGAAACTACAAGGACCACTGTGGGGCACTGTGGAAGAAACTACAAGGACCACTGTGAGGCACTGTGGAAGAAACTACAAGGACCACTGTGGGGCACTGTGGAAGAAACTACAAGGACCACTGTGAGGAACTGTAGGTGTAACTACAAGTACCACTGTGAGGAACTGTGGGTGAAACTACAAGTACCACTGCAAGCATGCATGTTTACATTATGTGCGTGCATCAGTGGAGGCTGCTGAGAGGAGGACGGCTCATAATAATGGCTGGAATGAAGTCAATGCAGTGGTATCAACCACATGGAAACCACGTGTTTGATGTGTTTGATACCATTCCATTGACTCCATTTCAGCCATTATTATGAACCGTACTCCCTTCAGCAGCCTCCACTGGCGTGCATGCACCCTTGTGTGCACTGTACCTGTGTGTGTGTGTGTGTGTGTGTGTGTGTGTGTGTGTGTGTGTGTGCTCACTGTGCCTTGTACAGCTGTCAGCTTCATTTAGCCAGCGCTGGGAGAGACAGTGTGTGTGTGTTTGTGTGTGTATGGCCAGTGGCCGCACAGGGAGGCAGGAGAGGAGAGACAAGTAGAGGAGAGGCAGGGTGGGGCGGCACCACGTGCAGAAGCCAGCCCTGACAGCCCAGCAGCAAACAAGAGCGTCGTCAGGTCGACAGCGCTTAGTTCCAGTTCCTGCCATGTCAGCAGCCAGCTCAGATGACCTGTGTGGAGTAGTGGATGGATCTGATTCCTACCACTACTTGTTCCCTCCTCATTCCTTCTTCCCAGAGGAGGAGCAGCTACTGATAGCTCTAGTGTTCTTTGTTCTCTGCCATACCTGGAGGACGATTGGGAGGGATAGGAAGCTTTGTGAGTGGGTGTTGTGTTTACTTACAGCATGGCGGCAAACAAAAAGCACCGGGCGAGTACACAGGGGGGAGGGAGGGAGGGAGGAAAGTGACAGAGCCCATTTTATTTTTCAGTTATGTATTTCTTATTTTTTCATCTTTCTCTTTCTTGCTTTGTTGATATTTCCCTCCCTTTTCTCACACTGGCGTGAATGAAATTTCCCTACTTGCCAGAATTCCCCAGTAACCATGGCAACACTGGCTGTGAGAACACAGCTCCCCGGCATTCAATTCCACCACCGCCCGCCCGCCCTCTCCCTCCCTACCTGCCTCCCTCCCTCCTCCCACCCGCTCCTTCTTCCTCTGTTCTATTGCTTCCAACATCCCCACCCCCCTTTCCTCACCCTCTCTCCCTCCCCTCCCCTCCTCCCTCCCTTGTTCATTCCCGCTCCAGGGCTCAGACAGGAAGCTCAGTTCCAGCCAGCTATTCTACAGGGAAGAGTGCTCCATGAGCGGAATGCCAAGTCTCCAGCAAATCCAGCTCATTAGCTCGCCCCTTTCTCTGTACAATCCCTTTTCCACACTGCCAATCCACCACCAGTCATCATCTATCTATTCCACCACTTCCCCCACCTCCCTCCTTTCCCCCTTGTCTCCGCCTCTCTCACTCTACTTGACCCACCACCTCCACGGAACACGCCCAGGTTCTCAACCCCTCTTCACCCAGGTTGGAGTCACCCTGCCTGGGGGATGCTTGACATGACCCCCCCCCCCCCCCCCCCCCCCCCCCCCATATCAGCAGCAAGAAAGCTGAACTGATATGATCACCTCGTTGCTTATGTCTCTCTGACTGGTTTAGTTTAAAGCACTGACAACAGCAGAACGTCACTCCTCAGAGTGTAGGTATCAACTGATGCTATCCCAAGATTACAACAAGTAACAGACAAATCTGGAATTCCATTTGCCGCTCACCAGCCGCGACAACATGTGAAAGTAATTAGAGCTATTGTTTACATTGTAGTCACCGAGGAGCTCGAGCTGCACCTTATCAAGCATCTCAACACAAAGTGTGACTATTTCCCTCTTGTACACACACACACACACACACACACTCTCTCTCTCTCACACACACATAGACACACACACACACACACACACATAAACTGGAGTGTGAAATCTGATCTGAGATATTGAACTATTCAAATCCTTACGGGACCTGTGGGGCTTATGTTTGACAAACAGCTGCGTAGTAGCAACAAGTCACCTCCATGGTATGTGATTGCTGTGCTTAAAGAGTTGAAGTGTGGTGAGGTGAAACGTATAGACCCTTATCTAGATGAGTGTTGTCTCTGGTCCTCTCAGCAGGAACTCATAAGGGCCTCAGCAGACGCCACCTCACAACTTCAGCTGTGGATGATAACCGTCAAGGTTGTCTCAATTTCAGTGTGTGTGAGTGTGTGTGTGTGTGTGTGTGTGTGTGTGTGTGTGTGTGTGTGTGTGTGTGTGTGTGTGTGTGTGTGGTGTGTGTGTGTGTGTGTGTGTGTGTGTGTGTGTGTCTCAGATGACACAGATAAGGAGAATGAGAGAGAAAAGGGAGGAAGCATGTTTTGTGTTTTTGTGTGCTCAAGATGTGGGTATGAACTGAACTGGGTGAAAGTTTGATATCATGTTTTGCTAGTGCATGATAACTGTGTCACTTTCCGTGCCGCTGGCGTACCACAAAACCCCACAGCCCCCACAACGATGTCGCCCCCCGCCCCAGAATAGCATGAGACTTAAACAGCAAATGTTTCCCTCTTCCTCAATGCAATATGTGTAGAATTGTAAGAAATTAGCTTTAAAACTGTAAAATTCTCTCAGCCTCATTGCGAAATGTGTAGAATAGGATGAGATTAGCTATAAAACTGCACATTTTTCTCTTTGCCCCATGGCAATATGTATAAAATTGCAGGAAATTAGCTTTAAAAATGCTAAATTCTGTCATCCTCATTGCAAAATGTGTAGAATAACATGAGATTAGCTATAAAACTGTAATTAGTTATCTTTGCCCCATGGCAATATGTGTAGAATTGCAGGAAATGTGCTTTAAAAATGCTTCATTGTCTCAGCCTCATAGCAGAATGAGTAGAATAGCATGAGATTAGCTATAAAACTGCTAATGTTTCTCTCTGCCCCATGGCAACATGTGTAGAATTGCAGGAAATGTCCTTTAAATATGCTAAATTCTCTCAGACTCATTACAAAATGTGTAGAATAGCATTAGATTAGCTATGAAACTACACATTTTTATCTTTGCCCTATGGCAATATGAGTAAAACTGCAAGAAATTAGCTTTAAAAATGCTAAATACTGACATCCTCATTGCAAAATATGTAGAATAACATGAGATTAGCTATAAAACTGTCATTTTCTCTCTTTGCCCCATGGCAATATGTGTAGAATTGCAGGAAAATAGACTTAAAACAGCAACATATTTTAACAGCCTCATGGCAAAATTTGTAAAATAGCATGAGATTAGCTATAAAACTGCTAATGTTTCTCTCTGCCCCATGGCAATATGTAAAGAATTGCAGGAAATTAGCTTTAAAAAAGCAAAATTCCATCAGCCTCATTGCAAAATGTGTAGAATAGCATGTGATTAGTTATAAAACTGATAAATTCTCTCAGCCTCATTTCAATATGTGTAGAAAAGCATGAAATTACCTATAAAACTGCAAAATGTTCTCGCTGTCCCATGGCAATATGTGTACAATTGCAGGAAATGTGCTTAAAAATGCAAATTCTTTCATCTTCATTGCAAAATGTGTAGAATAGCATGAGACTAGCTATAAAACTGCACATTTTTCTTTCTACCCCATGGCAATATGTGTAGAATTGCAGGAAATGTGCTTTAGAAATGCTAAACACTTTCATCTTCATTACAAAATGTGTAGAATAGCATGAGATTAGCTATTAAACTGCAAATGTTTCTCTCTTCCCCATCGCAAAATGTGTAGAAATGTAGGAAATTAGATTTAAAACAGCAACACATTCTCTCAAATTTGTAAAATAGCATGAGATTAGCTATAAAACTGCAAATTCTTCTCTCCGCCCCATGGCAATATGCGTAGAATTGCAGGAAATGTGCTTTAAAAATGCAAAATTCTCTCAGCCTGATATGGAAAATGTGTAGAATAGGATGAGATTAGCTGTAAAACTGTTATTTTTTTCTCTCTGCCCCATGGCAATATGTGTAGAATTGCAGGATATGACCTTTAAATATGCTACATTCTCTCAGACTCATTACAAAATGTGTAGAATAGCATTAGATTAGCTATGAAACTGTGATTTTTTCTCTCTGCCCCATGGCAATATGTATAGAATTGCAGGAAAGTTGTTTTAAAAATGCAACATTCTCTCAGCCTCATTGCAAAATGTGTAGAATAGCATGAGATTAGATTTAAAACAGCTAATTTTTCTATCTGCCCCATGGCAACATGTGTAGAATTGCAGGAAATGTGCTTTAAAAAACACTAAATTCTTTCATCTTCATTGCAAAATGTGTAGAATAGCATGAGATTAGCTATAAAACTGCACATTTTTCTTTCTACCCCCATGGCAATATGTGTAGAATTGCAGGAAATGTGCTCTAAAAATCCTTAATTGTCTCAGCATCATTGCAAAATGTGTAGAATAGCATGAAGATATAAAACTGCACATTTATCTTCTGCCCCATTGCAATATGTGTAGAATTGCAGGAAAATAGCTTTAAAACAGCAACATATTTTCACAGACTTATGGCAATATGTGTAAAATAGCATGAGATTAGCTATAAAACTACAGATTATTATTTTGCCCTATGGCAATATGTGTACAATTGCAGGAAATGTGCTTAAAAATGCAAATTCTTTCATCTTCATTGCAAAATTTGTAGAATAGCATGAGACTAGCTATAAAACTGCACATTTTTCTTTCTACCCCCATGGCAATATGTGTAGAATTGCAGGAAATGTGCTTTAGAAATGCTAAACACTTTAATCTTCATTACAAAATGTGTAGAATAGCATGAGGTTAGCTATTAAACTGCAAATGTTTCTCTCTTCCCCATCGCAAAATGTGTAGTAATGTAGGAAATTAGATTTAAAACAGCAACACATTCTCTCAAATTTGTAAAATAGCATGAGATTAGCTATAAAACTGCAAATTCTTCTCTCCGCCCCATGGCAATATGCGTAGAATTGCAGGAAATGTGCTTTAAAAAATGCAAAATTCTCTCAGCCTGATATGGAAAATGTGTAGAATAGGATGAGATTAGCTGTAAAACTGTTATTTTTTTTCTCTCTGGCCCCATGGCAATATGTGTAGAATTGCAGGATATGACCTTTAAATATGCTACATTCTCTCAGACTCATTACAAAATGTGTAGAATAGCATTAGATTAGCTATGAAACTGTGATTTTTTCTCTCTGCCCCATGGCAATATGTATAGAATTGCAGGAAAGTTGTTTTAAAAATGCAACATTCTCTCAGCCTCATTGCAAAATGTGTAGAATAGCATGAGATTAGATTTAAAACAGCTAATTTTTCTATCTGCCCCCATGGCAACATGTGTAGAATTGCAGGAAATGTGCTTTAAAAAACACTAAATTCTTTCATCTTCATTGCAAAATGTGTAGAATAGCATGAGATTAGCTATAAAACTGCACATTTTTCTTTCTATACCCCCCCATGGCAATATGTGTAGAATTGCAGGAAATGTGCTCTAAAAATCCTTAATTGTCTCAGCATCATTGCAAAATGTGTAGAATAGCATGAAGATATAAAACTGCACATTTATCTTCTGCCCCATTGCAATATGTGTAGAATTGCAGGAAAATAGCTTTAAAACAGCAACATATTTTCACAGACTTATGGCAATATGTGTAAAATAGCATGAGATTAGCTATAAAACTACAGATTATTATTTTGCCCTATGGCAATATGTGTACAATTGCAGGAAATGTGCTTAAAAATGCAAATTCTTTCATCTTCATTGCAAAATTTGTAGAATAGCATGAGACTAGCTATAAAACTGCACATTTTTCTTTCTACCCCCATGGCAATATGTGTAGAATTGCAGGAAATGTGCTTTAGAAATGCTAAACACTTTAATCTTCATTACAAAATGTGTAGAATAGCATGAGGTTAGCTATTAAACTGCAAATGTTTCTCTCTTCCCCATCGCAAAATGTGTAGTAATGTAGGAAATTAGATTTAAAACAGCAACACATTCTCTCAAATTTGTAAAATAGCATGAGATTAGCTATAAAACTGCAAATTCTTCTCTCCGCCCCATGGCAATATGCGTAGAATTGCAGGAAATGTGCTTTAAAAATGCAAAATTCTCTCAGCCTGATATGGAAAATGTGTAGAATAGGATGAGATTAGCTGTAAAACTGTTATTTTTTTCTCTCTGCCCCATGGCAATATGTGTAGAATTGCAGGATATGACCTTTAAATATGCTACATTC